CGCATCCTCATGCCCTTTCTCACAGTGGGGCCTGCTAGTGGTAGCGTGTTACATTGTAGCATAGCTCTATGTACAATGTAAATCCTTTCTTCCTTTCTGGATTCACCAGGAACAGTCTTTCGTTTCACCTGGGTCTACAGGGCAGAGAAGTTATCTGTGACAGTCTAGAGAAAAGAGTGCTGAGGGAATGCCTTACAGCTTAGAATCATAGAATCACCAAGGTTTGGAAAAGACTTCAAGATATCCAGTCCAACCATCCACCTATCACCAGTATTTTCCTGCTAAACCATGTTCCTTAGTATAACATCTAAATGTTTCTTGACCACCACCCTCCCGTGGTCCAACTTGAGACCCTTCACTCTATTTCTACTGCTAGTTATACTGGAGAAGAGACTGACCCCCACCCTGCCCCAGCCTCCTTTCAGGTAGTTGTAGAGAGCTATAAGATCTCCCTGAGCCTCCTCCAGACTAAACAATTCAGTTGACTCAGCCACTCCTCAAAAGATTTGTAATCCTGACCCTATGCCAGCTTTGTTGCCCTTCTCTGGGCATACTCCAGGCCTTCACTGGTGGGGTGGATGTGGGGAGAACAGTGGATGTAGTCTACCTTGATTTTAGCAAGGCGTTTGATACTGTCTCCCACAGCATCCTTATAGAGCAGCTGAGGAAGTGTGAGACAGGTGAATGGACAGTGAGGTGGGTTGAAAACTGGCTGAGTTCAGAGGGTTGTGATTGGCAGTGCAGAGTCCAGTTAGAGGCCTGTATTCTAGCAGCAGAAGCTTCCTGGAGCCTTCTCTTTTCTAAGCTAAACAAGCTCAGTTCCCTCAACCTTCATTGGTAGGAGAGGTACTCCAGCCCTCTGACACTCTTAGTGGCCCTCCTGTGAACCAGCTTTGAGAGCTCCACATCCTTCCTGTGCTGGGGGCCTCAGGCCTGGGCACGGTACTCCAGATGGGGCCTCACAAGAGCTGAGTAGAGGAGGACAATCACCTCCCTCTCCCTGCTGGCCCCCTCTTTTTTAATGCAGCCCAGAACACAGTTGGCCTTCTGGGCTCATGTCCAGCTTCTCATCCATCAATTCTGCATTCTGTGATTTAAAGACTCCACTCACAGCTGTGCAGTAACTACTCCTACTACAGCCACACTATATATATTGCAAGCATGGACTTTCAAGCTATAATAGAATTTTCTTGCTGTGTATAGACTCCTGAAGAAATGGAGATGAAGACATCCATTAGAAGACACAAAACAGAAGCAAACAGAACACACAGACATGTGTACGAAATAAAATCAGTATGAGCTTTATTGATGGGGGAATGGAATCTGAACCTGAAGTGATTCATCCTTTTAAAACAGCATAAAACTGCTGAGCTCTAAAAGGGTGCTAACATGTTTTAATGAATGATAGAATCACCAGGGTTGGAAAAGACCTCTGAGATCATCCAGTCTAACCATCAACCTACCACCCATATTTTCCCACTAAACTGTGTTCCTTAGTACCACATCTAAATATTTCTTAAACACCTCCAGAGACAATGGCTCAAGGCTTATGAAATATGTCGGCACTTGTTATGTTATTTGAACAATAGATTCTCAGTCTAGAGACAGTTTTAGATCACTTCCAGTGTATGCATCAATAGAAGGAGGTGGTAGAGCCTTCTACTAGAATAAGGAGCGCACTTGCATTCAGTAAGATTTAGTTTAGAAAGTGATACAGCAAGAAATGGCTCACCCTTTCCAAAGGCTCATGGAGTCTTGAGGAGGGCAGTTTCCAAATAGACATGCCATTCCTTAGCTGCTAACTCTTACGTGAAAATGAGGAGGTGTGGACCTGGTCCATGACTTCTGGTCACTCAGGTGCACTGCTTGCTCCCTTGGTTAGCCACACCTTCTAACCTGGTGCTCAATCATTGGTTCAGGCTGTGAACTAGCAAGTCCAACACACAAGGTAATAATTATGTTCATGCTAATAATCAAGAAAATCACACTGTGGGATGTAGTAGTTATTGAAAGTCAGCTTAATTTTCAAACTGCTGTTATCTATAGCTAACTGTGTGTCCATATCTAGGCTTCAGCCCCTGAAAATTCACTGAAGTTGTCTCTGAGCACAGGAAGATCTGTCAGCAGTCTGTAACTGTAGCACTTGAGTGCGTAACTATGTTTATCCATTTGTGACTGAGGTCTATATCACTTGTGCCTGGGGCAGACTAACAAAATAACATGCAATAGCTTGCCTTTTCTTTCCCAGGCAGTATAGGATGGCAGCAGTAATGCACGACGTGGTGGAGGCAGCTGGCTTTCCTAAGAGACAGGATTTTTAATCCTTCAAGCGGTCTGAAGAGACATTCACTGAATAAATTCATTGTTTGTATTTTGTGGCCTTTTTACTGAGCCTTGTGCTTTCAGAATGTAAGAGAGTGCAGTGCTCCCTGTTTCTTCTAGCCTGCCTGCAAGCGTGTCTGGATTGTTAACAAGTGCGACTAGGGAATGCATGTTCAGTTTAACCTATAACAATGTGATACCACCTGCTGCTGAACCCCTTCACTGCAGGGCTTCTGGTAGTCCTTGGTCTTGTCCATCTTCTCCAGGGACAAGCTGGAATCCAGGCAGTTGGGATGGGTGGAATGTTGGCAGGTAGCTAAGATCTGGCTAGCACTGAAGAAGTGCTCTCTGCAAGGAAATCATGGCTGGTATCTGTTATTGAGAACATGGTGACTCTTGGGTTGGCTGCCTGTGGTGATTTCCACTGGGCAAGGGATGCTGGTGTCTGAAAGAGGCATGTCAGGGGTGCAGTTTAGGGGCTGGACCTAGGTGTAGAATAAGCCATAAAACAGAACTGCAGCAATAGAAGGTGTCCTCAGCAACATCTTGAATCTGCCTTCATTCCCACAGCCATCATAACTTAACCATTCTAACACTTTCATGAACAATATAAAACTGATCTCTGGTCAAGTTTACAGAAGCATGGTTTAAACGTTTTTATTACATCTCTCTTGACAGTTCAGCCATCATTGAAATTATATCTACCAAATACAGAAATTTTCTGCTCTCCTGATGACCTGTGCACCTTATTGCTCTTGTGCACAGATTGTGTAATGTAGGTGTACAATCAGTGGGTGTACAATTGTACAATCAATAGGTGTACAATCAATAGGTATACAGAGGTTACACTTAGTAAGATTATCACAGTGGAAAAATAATAAAAATCAATGGAAATACTCATCAGTGTCATAGGCTCGCAGTAAACACCACAAGGAGCTATCTCCAGAAGAAGATCCATCCTGAGTGGCAGTCAGCACTTAAATGGGATCTAGGAGAGGTGCAGCCAGGCTCCACCCCTTCCAGTAGCACAGGTGAATTGCCTTTACCTGTGCTCCTCTGGCTGACTCACTGCTCGCCTCAGGTGATCAGTCAGAGGTTCAGGCTGTGACTCAGCAGTTCCCATAAACAGACCTCAGGGCAAATGTTGTTAAGTGTTAATTCATCCATTATTAGTGTCATTAGTGACAATTCTGATATAACTAATTGTAAAGTTCACTTTGGTATAAACTTAAGAAATTAACCCAAAAGGTTTGGGCATTGCCTGCTGTGATTAAGTATGAGCAATATGAGCTTTTGCGAAAAATTTCCAAGCTCACTGAAAAGGGGAAGAGGGGGTGTTAATTTGAAGAAGTAATTAAAGCCAGGATCCACATATACCAGGCAGAATTAGCCTAAAATGTGACAGACATCAAGACGTTCCCCTTTGTCTTCCTTATCTATGTGTACAGAGACTTCTAAAATTGTCATTGCACTCCACAGCAACCTTTGGGACAAAAGGAGTGCTGGGAAAAAGTAAAGGACCCCCTTTTAAGGACTAACAATAAACTGACAATGGACCATCACCGTGCTAGAAGGAACTAGAATATACTGAAGGTCACCAAATAAGGCTATGTCTGTTGGACATGGAACTGAAGAGCATTGAGCTCCCTACATATATTCCGTTTTAGCTCTCCTTGTAAGATAATCCTCTGACAAATGCCAGATTATACCTGAAGAGTAATCGAAATAACTACATTCATAGAATAAATCACAAAAACAAGATCAGACATGGCCAGCAGAATTATCTCCTCCCAGGAAAATCAAACAAACCCCTTATTTTCTTGATAATAAATTGAGCTTCATACCCAAAGCAACAAATCATTCTTATACAAATATATCTACTGTCTGAGTCTGCTGAACTCCTCATTTGCCATGCACTGTCACTGGGACATAAAACAGTATCATGCAAATCATGTCTTGTGGAAGAGTTACTATGGACCAGCAATCTGCCACTGAATAGGATGTAGCAAATGTTAAGAACTTCTAATTCCAATGTTGTGAGTTGTGATGGTTGACAAATAGGCATTGAGTTACAACAGGCATATTCAACCCACAGCCTGGCACAGGCTTGCAATGTAGTCCAGCCCCTGTTGCTAGGCATTGGCTAGAAATCAAGCAACCAAATTTAGAGGGCCCACCCTCTAAACATGGGGAGGGTGCGGCAGTAGTAGTGCTTAGTCTTCCTCTCGCATCCAGTTGAATCAAACCCTATGTGTATTACATATAGATGTGCTTACTGAGTAAAATGAAGTGATTGCTAATGATATTTAAACCTGTCTAATGCTATCTCAAAGGATAGCAGAGCCAAAAAAGAAAAATTGTGGAGGAAGGAAGAGTGTTCAAGGAAAAACGGATAGACAAGTAGATTTTGGTCAAGATAAATAATATGGCACTATGATTAATTTCCAAGGAAAGTGTCAGCTTTCAAAGATTGCTATTTGAAAAGACATTACATGCAGAAACATGCTGCCAAATTTAATGAATATTAAGGAATGCTTCATAAAGACAAAATAGTGAAATTGAAAAAAAAAACCAAAACCTGTCACCCCAACAAAATCTTTTTTTTTTTTTAAATTAAAACTCAAATGGGCTCTATTATAAAAGCTAGTTACATGATAGCAAACCTGACTGCAAAAAAATTAAAACCATTTACTGAAGAGTTTATTAAGCAATGCATGGAAAGCACGGCACACATAATATGTCCAAAGCAGGTTTTTCTAAAATTAGTTTGTCTTGCCAGACTACAGCCAAGTGAATATAAGAAAATTTGGTGTCTTTAAAAGACACAACTACATCTCCCCATTTGTATGAAACAGTAAAAAATACATTCAAGTAATTTTCTTTAACCTTTGTCAACATATTTGTTAAAGCTACTGATAGCACCCTACCAATGGCTGGTAAAAAAAAAAAGGGACTTACAAAATTAAGAGAAAATAATGCAGTTGCCACAAGAAAAATCACACAATGAAATACTGTTGCATCAAACATTAAGAAAATGTATGTGAGAAAGCTTTAAAAATTGATAATATAATTCAAAAACATCATCAAAGCTCTGTATTTCATAATAAGGGATTGAATCATCGTCAATTCCAGGAAATCCTTAAAAGTAAGAATGCTGATTATAGGGACACCATTAACTTTTCTGAAGTCAGGTGGCTAAGTAAAGGTAGAACACTAAAAATATTATATGATTTGAGAAATGAAATTAAGTCCTTTGTGGAGTCAGAAAGAAAATTTGTGTCAGAATGTGAAGATTAAAAATGGCTTACAGATTTAGCATTTTTGACAGATTTGGCCACTCACTTAAATGAGTTAAACATGCAGCTTCAAGATGAAAATGATCTCATCTGCTGTGTTTCCAACATGACTGTGTTTGAAATAAAATTTAAATTATGGCAAGCTCAAGCTACATCAAATAATTTCATGCATTTTGATATGCTGGCTTAAACACAGTCCTGTGAGCAGTGAGAAATATGCAGCCTTGCTTTCATTTCTGAAAAAAGAATTTGAGAATAGGCTTTGAGATTAAAGAAAAACAAACTTTTTTTATTTTTGTATTTGGGATTCCATTTCAGTCAATCTATTTTAAATACACTACCTGTGAATTTTGTACGCAGCTGCAATCTAATATTCAGCTCAAAAATTTTATCATGTCTGATTATGAAACTTTATACATTATTACATATTTTACATGTGGCACAAGATGATTCCCATTCATGCAGTGTGGCCCAGGCAAGCAAAAATGTTGGACACCCACGATACACAGCGTCCATACCTTCTGACCTCTGTTCTCCACAAAGAAGCATTCTTGAACTTGCACTGCACAAAGCAATGATATCCAACAGGAGAAAAGCCCTAAGCTTCACAAGTTGCAACATTTACGTGTTTTGTCATATTTTCTTTTTAAGACGGTTCCTAGAAAAATGTCATTCATCTACATTAATGCTTTCCTGTTTTGACTAAAATAAAATCAATATCTCAACAGTAGATCAATTTGAACTATCTGTTCATTTGACCTGTATAGCAAAATTTGTTTTGCATAAATCAGTTTCAGTCATACAACCATTTGTACCCTCCTTGTGCTTGTGCTGCTAAGGTACCTATTTGGCATAAACTGCCAGTACTGAGTTGTTCTCTGTTAATGAGCATAGACAATCTTCTTTTGCTGTTATGGGTTGGGAAGTTTTATTGCAATAGCGCAGTAATAGCCTGTAGGACCCAGCTAACATATTAGCTCAACTAGTGACAAATGAAATGTTCCAGGCAATTGTTGCAGGAACATCTGAGATCCCAACATGGGATCAAGAAGAGTACTTCTGTGGAAACAGCATGCCTTACTAAAGACAAACAAGATGTTAAGTGAGGCCACGGTAGGCACAAGTTGTGGTAGTGCTCCGTTTTCATCAAGCACATACAATAAGAGTCCATTACCTATAAAGCTGTACACATGCCAGGTTGTGCAAACCATGAGTGAGAACTCAGACATTGGTGTTATTTATAATTATCCTGTTTATGTCCCCAGTGTAGGAGGCAGAGGCCACAGAATTAAGGATGTATGAGGAGGAAATACACAACCCATCACAGATGAAGAGCAGCAGTTTGCTTTAGGGATAGAACAGCACATGCTAAGACACACGTGCCTGTTGTTTTATTACATGTTTTCAGCAACCTGCGTTGCAGAACTCTGCTCCACTGTGGTCCCTGTGTCAGGTCCACTAATCCTGAAGATTAAAATCAAGTAGCAATAGGGTTAGGAATGTATCTCAGAGTACAAAGAAACCAGCCTGTTCATCCCACCTCTACATAATATGTGGTTCCTACACAGTCAATTCTCCACAGATAACAAATTCAAGCGCTGCTGCTCAAAACTTCCACTAGTTTGAGCAACACTGGTACCAAAGCACTACTGCGACTTCAGAGCTCCTGCCTCATTAGTCCGGTTATACACAAGCACTTAGTATTATATGGGAGCATGCAAAAATACTTCTGAGAGGTCATTAAAATGGAGAAAAACTTCCACTGTAGTTACAGAGTAGTCAGAGATGCAAGAATACTGAGAAGTAACAGGAGTGCTCACTGTGACAAAGCAGGTTGTATCAATTTATTGCTTTGTGCTTCAATTTTCACAGCCATAAGATACAGAGGACTGATGCTGTCCTCTATATTTCATTAATTTATAAATGGAAATTGCAAAACAAAAAACAAGCTGCAATATTATGTAAAAAGTCCTGTTCTCCCACACAAGAGCAACAGATTTTTTGACCCAATGGCAAGATATCCTTTTCCTCCACACAAAATTCATCCTCCCTGTTAGGAACAGCTCTTGGATATTTTGCAGAGCATAGCACAGAAAGCTTTCAAAAAGCAGCTTTCAAGATCTTCAAATGTTATCATTTGATAAGATAAAAAAGCACCAAATTAATAATATTTGATCTCATACACAATCCTCTCAGGCTGCCATAATGGTGAAGGGACTGCTCCACGCATGCCCAATAAAACATTATACAAATGGGAGAAGATACAGATGTAATACAGCAGGTGAGTCTATCACTCCCATCCAAATTCAGCTGAGAGAGAAGAGACAAGCTGAGAATACTATCATGCAGGGTGAATGCGCAGTTCCAGTCAGAAGAAAGTTTCCAATGGGATGGCAGATGTTCACCTTGAATCTTGTAAGGGATTCTGGATGACAGTGTGGTGGGCAGAGGAGTCTGTTCCAGGATTCTGACACTGCAAAGAGCTGTTAGGCTGTTGTTTCTCAGGAAAATACAGTGTTTTGTAAATCAGATCTTGGACTGCAGAAACATCACTTTTTTCTATAGAAAAAGAAAAAGACAATTGGCAGGGATTCTCAAAAGATTAAGTAGCCCTTCTCCTGAAGAAGTACCCTCCAGTTCTCTAGCACCAGCAGCTCTTCCTCTCTTTTTTCTTGTACATCCCTCATTCTGTGCACTCACCTACACCCAGCTCCTGCAGTAGACTGTCAAACTCTGGGTCATTCTCCAGGATTTTTAAAAGGTTGGTGGACTCCATTCTCTCCAGCTGCACATCCCAGTAGATGTAGATCTTCTGATTGAAGCTGACATAAACCAGGCAGGGACTGTTGCTTCCTTGTTTGCATGCATATAGGCCTACAAAGAACAGAAATATGGAAAATCTGTCTACTTCTCAAAATACAGAGAAGGCAAATAGGTAACTTCTCAGGATGAGACAACAAAGACGTTAGCAGAGAGCAGTAAGCACCTTCAAGGAAAGAACAGAGATGGACTTGGCTATGTTAAGCCCCTCTGAGACATTTCAGTTGTCTCTAAACTGTCATTAATGTATGCAGCTTGTGGATTTGCAAGCTGCTTTTTACAAGTCTGAGAGAAACGAATTAGCAAAGTCAAGACTCAGGCTGGCTCCACGGGGGTCTGTATCTCAAGTGAGAACAGCTTAGAAGACTGCAAATTTAAAAAGCAATGGAGAAGAAAACACTGATAACACTCTCAGATTAGACAGAAAAGAAAGGAAAAAAAAAAACAACAACAACAAAAATAAACTAAACCAATCACAGCCATACCCCAGCATCACCCCCACTCATTCTGCTTTTCCCAGATTCCATCAGTGGGAAGACTAACTGTGCCTCTTCCTGCAGAATATACACCCCAGGAAAATTATTCCCCACCGCAGACAGACAAAAGATCACAGGTTCCCCAGAGGAGAGCAGTAACTTTTATGGAGAAATGTTGTGAGGGATGGCTTTGCAGTCAAAATCCTCACCTGCACAGAATGCACTGACATTCTCATCTGCTTGAAATCTGGCAACTGTGCGATTGTGGTCGATGATATATGTCTGGCCATCCCATGCACAGGCAATTACCTCCTCATGTCCATTGCCCTGCAGGAAACATAGGATTAGCACAGACATCAGCTACTCCCAGAGGCAGTCAATAATCTTTCTGCTTATTCAAGAGGTAGAGCACTATTAAATGAACAAGATAACACTCATTAACTTGGAAACCAACTCTTCCTTCTCTATTACAATCCTTATGTATCCTATGAGCCCATAGGCTGTCAATTGGAGTATTGACAATTTGCAAAACTTTTCAATTTTGCAATGAGATAAAAGAGCAGTTCAGGGATGGAAAAATTCATAGCAAGGCGCTGCACTCACTAGGCCAAATAGGCAGACACAACTCAAACTCTTGGAGGAAGGCAGACTGACACCAGTGTAGAATGTGCTGGCACAGTCAGAGCTTTCAGTGTATCAGCCTGCAATAATCCCAGTATTTTTTCAGCTGAGTCATACTCTGTGGGAATACAAGAAAGACTATTCAGAGCAGCAGCTGTGGTACAAAATAAACATCAAGAGAAAGCAACACTGAGAACCAAGGACATCTCCAGAAGAAGAAAAAAGCAAAGTCAAGTAAGCTGTGTGATGGCCTCGTGATGATGGCCTTGATTGGAGGAAGAGCGTGTTACCAGAGACAACTCGTGGCTCTGACTGGATAACTGCCTGTGTGCAGTTAAGGAGTGTTTGTGGAATGTTTTGTTGACATGTAAAGGTGGTGGGAAAGTTAAAAGAGAAAACTTGTGAATGTATACAAGGGATGTTAGAACCTGCAATAAACAATTCGCATCATTCCAAGTTCGTGCCTCAGCTGCTGCAGTACTATCTCTGCCCTTCCAAAATTTAAACATAGAAAAGTTATGTTGAACTTTTGTCTTCACTCCTTCACTCTCAGACCTATTCACATAGTACTCACAGTAACATCCAGCTTTTCCAGCGCAAATAGCTGGTGATCAACCTGCACAGACCAGAGCAGCTTGTCTGCCCCTTCCATGAGTTTCAGTGTCCCTGAAGAGGAAAAAAAAAGATTGTCCTGAAAATATTAAAAGGCTTAAATATTAAATGTCTGCTAACATTGGGCCCTGTGTACTTCTTCAGCCCTCATGGTCTGCTAATGGAGGGGAGAGCATAGTACAGACTGTAGCTGACAGGAATCTCATTTCTGGGAGGGATAGTAGTTGATTGCATTTTCAGCAGTAAAAGGAAACAGGAAGAAATGGCAGCAGCTCTGCTAATTGGCTTGCACCCTAAGAAGAAAGTGTTCAAAACACGATCCCTGGATACAATACATCAACAGGTCTCGCATGAGACCACGTAAACTAGAATCCTCTCATCATGTCCCATGGATCACACAATCTCAAGAGAACTGGTATCAGCTGAGAAGTTACTGGCTAGTAGCATAGAAGTGGCCTCCTGGATGCTAAAATCATTCTAAACACTTACCTCATACCATTTTCCTATTTTCCAGAGGTACTGTGAAAATACCATGGAGGCTAGTGGGAGATGCAGACCTGAGACAGAAGGTCATACAACATAAACATGAACCTATCCTCACTATGCCCTCCAATCTCATTACGGCTCATGAAGGAATCATTGTGTGACTGGAAGCCTTGCCCATTGAGGCAGCTTCACAGTTAAGGCCCAAACAAGAATCAGAAACTCCCTAGCAGAACATCATAGAGCAGATGGACATCTAGCCCATATAGGCCAAGTTGCCTACCTGGAAACAGGGACACACAGCACCTTGTCTCCACACAGCTGCTTTTTGAACAGAATCCCTCCATTCAGTTAATTAGTCTGTCCTATCACTTCTCAGTCTGCAATGGAGCAGAAAAACATGGCTCCAGGCCAGTGTGAGGCAAGCTCTTCACTAACAATACTTGAGTTTCAGCATCCATTTCCTTTAATACTTTTAGAAACAACACAAATCCCTTCAAGTACAAAGGCACATCTCTGCTATGGTTTACAGGCTCTTGTTTACATGCACTGCACTGCCAAATTGGCATCTCAAACAGTAGTTTAAGTATTGGGTAAGCATGCAGCTTAGGAGTAAGCAGATGCTAATTCTAGTTTCAAGCTTTCCGTTTTGGGCCAAGTTTTAATAGTTCTATCCCCATAGGCCACGGTGCCATATGAGTAATAAATGTTTGTAAAATGCTTTGAAATCCACAGATGAAGAGATTGTAATAGCAAAAAAGGGAGATACTAATAAGACACTGAAAAAAGAAGAAAACAAACGTCAGAAGAAGGAGCTAGTCAAATTCTTTTGTGTGCATCAGGAAACATTTCTGAAGCCCAGTTCCCTCTTGTTTCAAAATCAAAAGCACTGCACACTTGTTCCCTACTTTTAATTAAGGACAAGCCTTGGGCTTTCTCACAGGCCCTTCTTCCGGGACAGTGGCAGAACTTACCATCAAGTGTACAAAGGGCAAAGAGACCCGAGCCATTACCCACACTGGAGTACCCTGTAAATGCAGAAGAGAATTACAGTTGAAACCTATTTATGAGCATTGTTTCTTCCCTCTCCTGAAAAAAAAAAAAGATGCAAAACAACAACCTGACCCATATTGCCTCCTTTTTCATCAAGTCTTACAACTTTGCGTAACAAGTATCTGCAGTCTTGCAACCAATCCTACCTCATGCCAGCTTTTATTAGTAGAGCACAACTATCAGTGTAAACCCAAGAATCCAGCATCTTTAGTTTGCATTGATATGGGCATGTCTGGCTCTGCTGACTGCTTCCAGGAATTTGTTTATGCCAAATGTATGCAGACCTTCAGCAGTTCTGGTTGCAGTTAACATCATCAAACCCTCTTTACGCTCCAAAAATGCACAAACACAGGCACAATAATCACAAAGGTACAATGTGGATAATAGCCTAAGCTAAATGAATATCACAACTATACCCTCACTGCTTCCCTCAGGGATAGCAATGTTGCCTTCAGTTGTTCCAGAAACAAGAAGAAAAAGCAGATCCCACTAGAAGGACTACATTTCAGTCAAAGCGGCACAAAAGCACCTTCATGTCAGCTCCTGAATGAGTCTGCCTAGATCATGCTACCAATATTATTATTTCCACTAGATGAAAACTGAACAGAAACTGTGGTTCCCACTCAGCAAACGCTGCTCAGATGCTACAGAGCTCTTGCTTTGAGGGTAGATTAGACATCTGTGTCAATGCTCATGCACCCAGCCCTGGCTTTATTAGTTCCCACAGCTGTGAACTTCCTGCAAACAGTTCCTCTCCAAAGCCTGTGTATTACACAATTGTGCACAGGACTAGCTAAACCCAAAGACATGACTTTCCTGACCACCACTTCAGTAAATTCAGTAAACCTGTCCACTAGTCAGAAGAGACATGCAAGATAAAAGTTTTGGAAGTGATATCACACTTGGTGGCAGAAGGCTAGAGCTCTTTTCAACTTCAGCTGCATTTTATGTCTGCACTGACAATGTTAAAGGAGGCACAGTCTCCTTGAGGTCTGCAGCAACCCAGGAAACGTGGCAGTCAGTGGCAAGACAGCAGAGCTGAAAGGAGTTTCATGGTCTTCCCAGACAGCTTTCCCAAAATGACACTATACTGCAAGCCTACTTTTGCCACCATGCACAGCTCCAGGCTACAACACTCCAGAACACAGAGTACCCTATTTCTACAGGATCATTTATAGCAAACAGTTAGCTGGTTGGGTGCTATACTGCCTGTAGCTGACATTCATCTAGACGCACTCTGTTCTAAATGATCTGCTGTGTCCTCTACAAACTGGTCAGCATGACATACTTTAGCTGTCTCACTACTGCTGTTCCAGCACCAAGGGGCTTTTTACAAACTTCTCATCCCTTATTCTGCAGGTTTTGTATGCAGTGAAATAACTGATTTCATGCTCCAGTGATCATGGTACTCACAGCAGCTGAAATGCTGAAAATATGACAAGCTTAGCAACTGGGTAGGAGCTGTACTTTGCGGAGCAGGGAAAGGGATGGGGGGAGTGTTTGGTTAGTTGTCCTTCTCCCTCAACTCTAATCACACTACACAGCCTAATTCCTCCGCAGACAGCACTGCAGATGATAATTCAAATGCACATCAATTCCAGCCAGTTGCAGACATGGAGGGAAAAAGCATGGGTTGCTTTGAATCTTCTTCTTCCTTGCACTATGGAGCATATAAACAAGGGAGTGTGAAACTTGCATGCTCTGTATGTACAGCGTTCAGCATATACAGCCAGTTTCATGGGGGAAGCACTGGCAGCACGTAAGAAATGCTTGGATACAAAAGCAGTAGGTTAGGGCTGAGAGAAGCCAGCAGCTATAGATAACAGTTGAACAGTATAAACTGAAAGGAGACAAAGGACAGCAACAAAAATGAAATGTGGAAGCAGCTCTGGAGGGGTTGGGATCCACAGGCAAAAGAAGGCAGGATATAGCTGTTAGAGGAATCAAGTGCTCAAATGCAAGAAATTAAAAATGATGCTGCAGTCATGCAAAAGCAAGGATCTAGTATATCTGCAGGAGAAGGGCTTCATAGACGTTCAAGATGAGTAAATGTAAGCAAGTAGAGGATGCAGGGAAACTTGTGCTGGGTGATGAATAACAAGGGAAGGTCTAAAGTCTGTAAAAAGTTGAAAAACAAACGTTTAGCTGTTCTTTGGAGGCAGACCAACAGGAGATGAAATCCTTCTGTTCTAGCATCTAACTCCTGAAGTTTTTAATTTTCAGCCTCTGGAAATCTAATTTCACACTGGACTGACATATTGAAAAAATATCACAGGCAACTGTTGAGGCAGAGGCCGCAAGCTCTTAATTTCTTACCTTGGCCAATACTACCAATCAGATGAGTAGAAACATTCTTGTTGTGAATCCGACCAGATGTTTGGTGGAGAATAACATCTCGAACAGGGGCCTCTCTAGAGAGAAAAGAGGCAGGCATCAGGAAAGGTTATGAGATCATGCCTGGTCCTGTGTCAGGACAATCTGAAAAGCAGAGTACTCCAGAACTCTCCAAGTCTACAGATGGATAGAGTCTGTGCGCAGGATAACCCCTTAATGAAATACTCAAGAACAATATGCTATTCCCAAAGCAAAAAATGACAGATTGCTCTAAGCAGGGGACATTTCAATCATCAGTAAAAGGATTATTTGCTGACAAAAAGCAATGAAAAGAAAGCACACCATCTCAGGAATGACAGAAATTTGCTAATGATTAAAAAACAAGACCTAGTGATTTGTAGCATCAGAAAAGTGGAAAGAACTCAAGTAGGTCAATAAAACATCTATTCTAAACAAGGAGATTGGTGTTTGTTTATTTTTTTTTAAAGTTATTTTCTGTCACACGTGCCTGAATGCTATTCATTCAGGAAAACTTTCTGTCTATGGTTGTCCAAGTGAGTCAGAGATCATGTCTGGGCCTGAGTTCTGGCCAGGAAGATACTTAGATTTCATTAAGGTCTCTAAGACATCAAGACTTGCTCAGCTTCCATCCTGCACATTTTCTGGGTCTGCCTTACTGTCCCAAAGAACAGCATAGGAATGCCTGATTTTCTCACAGTGGTGCCTCTAGGGACAGGGAAAATAACCTCACTGCCCATCTTGATTTCTCTGCTTGTAATTTACAGCACTGGCTGCCAGGTTCTTATTAGGAAATCCTGCCCTACCTGGAAGAAACCAGTAGTGTCTTTCCTGGGCTTCAGATTAATTGGCCTTGGCTCAGCCTTACAGATGCCACCCTTCCCACCATCAGACAGCTCCCCTGACTCCTTCTCCTTATAGAGATCTAGGTCACTCACTCCTTGGCCAACTCGAGAAGAAGAGCAGGACACAACAAAAACAATATTCTTCTCTAGCATAGAGACCTGAATTCATGGGCACTTGGGTGCCAACAAGCTTAAGTCATGAACTCCCAGCAGGTAGTTCATTGCAGATACTGGCTTCACTAGGATGACAGCATTATCCCTCAGAAAGGCAGTGGTCGTGGTGCCCTCTTGTGACAGGCATCTACAGTAGAATCTCCTCATCTACTCCACGCAATCACTGTTCACCTGCTAGGGGAAGAGCTGTCTCTTCCCTCTATCATGGGTTGCTGCTCGGAGTCCCAGGTGCACAGCAGAATGGCATAACCGCAGCCTGGCTGGGACACCATCATCTCTGGTAAGCCATCAGGGCCTGGGTTCACAGAAAGGCTATCCACCTGTACTGACACAGGATAAACAAAGATGGAGTTGAACTGAAAACCTTACTTAACCTAGAAGTTTCCACTGTGCAACTTGTGCCTAAATCTGACTACAGCAGATTTTTTCATAGAAGCTGAGCATAAGCTGAACAAAGCCAGCTACAGGCAAAATATCCAAGTAAAACGGACCTTCACCTAGCAAAAGCCACTTAGGAACGCCCTTAGTGGAAAACATTCTCTAGTCAAGTGAGAGAAGCTAATGAACATCACACCAGCGTCCCTGCGTGCCCAGGGCAACTGCTAGGCAAATCTCCTTTCAAGCCATCAAGATGACAATTACTTTGTTGATAGGACTGAGAACTCGTGCCTCTTCCCATATCCTTACCTGACCTTCCAGCAACCATTTCTTCAGCAGGATCAGCTGCCCACAGAGATGGTCTGAATTCTCCGACAAGTCCTCCCAGCGGAAGGCACGCACCACTCTATCAGTGTAACCTACCACAAGCTCACACTTCCCATCTCCATCTGCAGGGAAACCAGGAGACAGAAGGGCTCTCTTAGGCCTTCACAACTGCAAAAACCCCAACATCCATTAAGCACCATTCTCGAGGATCCCAACCCTATTACAAGAACTCACACTTTGGAATTTTTTTGTAAATTCTTGCTCTTCTCCTCAAGGACCGGACAGTCTTGTTAAAGCAACTGTTTGCTTGGTAGTCATTTTCTTCTACATGCTCATACACTTTCTGTCTCCCCATCACCACTTCTTGCCCCAAATCCCCTCACCCTGAACTCCCATCCTTGTTGTCCCACTCACCTATGTCACTGATTAGCATGACTTTGGTGTTGGCAGGAATATGTTGCTTGAACACTAGCTTCTGTTCTTCTGCTAGCTCATGGTGGCCTGAAGCATCTGGGTGCTTTGAAGGGGAAGTCAGATCAAAAAGATGAAACCAACCTTCTGCACTCACTGCCACTGCAAGATTCTAAGAGAAAAAGAGAACAGTCTTCGTATTACTTTTTTCTTTTAGAAATTGTAGCAGGGCAAGGGAAGATCAATGACTGCTACAAGGGAACAAGAGACTATTTCTGGCCAGTTGTCACAGAGGTATCTCCAGATCCGTGTCTGTGACAGGGGTCACAGTCCCAAAAACAAAACAAAACGAGAGAGGTAGGAAAAAAAAAGTATTAACTGTTTACAGCTAGTCTGGCCCAGCCCTGTGACTAATGAGGCATGGCACATGCGGGCAAGCGCCTCGGGAGAGAGAGAAAAGTAGGGGGAGGGAAATAGTAGATGGGTCTAAAAAAAAAAACCAAAACAGAGCAACAGCAACAATCTGAGGAGGAATATTAATTTACTACATCCAACAAAATCAAACAAAATGATAGAAAATGAGAGAAACAGTGTCCAAAACTAGAAGCCAGTAATGAGTGGTGTCCCTCAGGGGTTTGTCTTGGGACCAGTGCTCTTTAACATCATTATCAGTGACATAGATGGTGGAATTGAGTGCAGCAAGCTTTCTGATGACACCAAGCTGAGTGGTGCAGTTGACATGGTGGAAAGAAGGGATGCCATTCAGAGGGACCTCAACAAACTCAGAAGGTGGGCCTGGGTGAATCTAATGAGGTTCAACACAACAAACTGCAAAGTTCTGCACTCGGGCCGGAGGAATCCCAGGCATTTATACAGACCAGAAGGAGCAATCCTTGAGAGTAGCCCTGTAGAGAAGGACCTGGGGGGTCCTGGTGGATGAAAAACTGAACATGAGCCAGCAGTGTGCTCTTGCAGCTCAGAAAGCAAATGGCATCCTGGGCTCCATCAGAAGAGGGGTGGCCAGCAGGGATAGAGGGGTGATTGTCCCTCTCTACTCCGCCCTTGTGAGGCCTCATCTGGAGTACTGTGTCCAGGTCTGGAGCTCCCAGTACAAGAAAGACAGAACTGTTGGAGAGGGTCCAGAGGAGGGCCACAAAGATGATCAGAGGGCTGGAGCACCTTCCCTACAAAGGCTGAGGGAGCTGGGCTTGTTCAGTATGGAGAAAAGAAGGCTGGGAGGTGATCTCATTGCAGAATTCCAGTACCTAAAGGGAGCCTAAACAGGAGGGGAGTCAACTCTTTGAAAGGGTAGGTAATAACAGGACAAGGGGAAATGGTTTTTAAGTTGAAAGAGGGAAAATTTAGGTTGGATGTCAGGGGGAAGTTCTTTATTATGAGAGTGGTGAGGTGCTGGAACAGGCTGCCCAGAAAGGTTCTGGACACCCTGTCCCTGGAGATGCTCAAAGCCAGGTTGGATGGGGCCCTGGGCAGCCTGGTCTAGTGTTAAATGGGGAGATTGCTGGCTGTACCTGTGGCAGGGGCCATTGGAGATTCATGACCCTTGAAGTCCTTTCCAACCCAGGCCACTCTGCGATTCTATGATATCATGGCAGGCAAAAGCAGCCAGGGACCACATGCTTGTCAGCCACCTGGACCAGGAAAGCGAGCCACGAGCTCCTCCTTTCTTCCTCTGGGCCTGAACTCCTCTGGGGAATGCTGCTCCTCTCCAAGAACCAAAATGCCCAAAAAAGGCAGTCCCCAGAACCAGGACAGTAATTCTTTAACTGCTACTGCTTTACATGACGTTATGATGTGGAATACCAATAACAAAAATCACAAACTCACAAACCACTCAGGTCCTGAAGGGTCCAAACGGTTCAAAAGGCTCATCATTTTCAGAACAGGATATCAAGCTGATGTCTGCATGCAATTTCCAATACATGGCTTACTCTAACCTCACTTCAGCTCTACTTTCCTATGGAGCACAATATTTTAGGCAGGGTGCCTAAAGTGGAATTTTTGACCTCTTAGTCATTTGTTTAATTCTTAAAAATAGCAAGCCCCCAGAAGAAGTCACACTATACCCACTAGAATTTGCTTGGAAGTCGAAACTATTCTGTGTCTGTCTTGTTTAGGTGACCTGAAACACATACAGTCAAGCAGCAGAAGAGCCATGACCTGCAATAGGGCTCAGGACAGCTGGATAACAGCCAACAAGGAAAGGGAGTAATCCTTAAACCCCTGGAGCCTCATGGCATTCACACAGAAGGATGTGCTTATCAGTAAAGCTTCCTAAAGATGAGATCACTTTGCTCACTAAGACTTGTATGGTGTTCACAGACAGATGAGATTCAGGTTACATATAAACCCAAAAACAATTTTAAAATAGAAGCATTAAAATTCTGTACATGAGGTCAGATCCTGGAGAGAAAACACTTACCATCTGTTCTCGTCCACACTCTTTGACAGACATGAGCTAAATCTCCTAAGCACTTCCCATTTGCCCTACAGACAAAGATGGGGGGAGTTTGATTGCTCTCACCTTTCCTTTATTGCATACATCTCCCACACCAACACATGTAAGCTGCAAGAGAAAAGAAGACCTTAAGAGTCCATCTATGAGAGAAGGCAACCCAAAGAAGCACTTCTAGATAAACCCCTGCCATGCCCTCTCCTCTCCTCCTCAAGAGACTGTAGTCTCTTGAACTCGAACAGCCTTTTTAACGACAAAAAGAACTGCCCAGGACAGAAACACATAAGCCACACAACTGTCCAGAGCTCTGGAGCAAAATTCAAAGTGCACAGGAATAGGTTCAAGGTGGGAGAAGCCCCAACAGAATTACTGTGTTTGTTCAGTTCTTCACTCATAATTTCTAGTCCAAAGGGCTTGCTGTAAGCAAGAGAGTCTTACATCACTAGATGAAAAGCATCAGAAGCCGTTCTGGCTGCCACTCCTCTCTAGCTTTCATGTTCCTAAGCAGTGATCAAGGACAATAATATGTACATACATTAAAAGGCCCAATCAGTTAAAAGCTTTGTAAAGGACTGACCATTCCTTGGCAGGATCGTACTGTCCAGGGTTTGCTGTCATCATTTTTGTACACATAGAGTTTCCCATTGGTGTCTCCTACCACTAGCTCGTTCAGCTGTACAAGAGAATTAGGTTAGTAAGAAGCTCACAATCGCAGTAACATAGTACTTCCAGCACAGTGTGAATTACAGATCTCATATCTGAAATGGGTAAGAATCAGCAAATCAAGAGTTAAAAGCTTGAAACAGTAGAAAAGGTCTAAGAAAAAAAAAAAAAAAAAGAGTCCTCATTTTACACAATCAGACTGAACAGCTGACTTGGGCTTTCTTCATTCATCTGAGGAAGATGTGGAGAAAGTAATTGTCTAGAAAAAATCTGCAAGAACACAACACATTTACACTGGATCTTCAGCCTCACTAACAAACTGGCTAAACAAACTGGCTTTCTTGTAAGATGACTGCTGAATAGTCACCATCTCCTGCTAATGAGCCCACATATACCATCCCCTGCATTACGTCTCTACTTCAATTTTTTGCATAACTCCCCTAGCACATTACCCTGTGTAACATTAGTTCACATGGCTAGCTATGACACTTTCCAGGATAGCTTAAGAAGATTTGTCTATTGAGACAGTCTTCGTATACGTGTTCAAGCTAATCTCTTCCTAATTACAGCAAAATCAGACATTCCAAGAACAACCATTTGTGGAGCTGACACTAATAGCACTGATGCACATCCATCCAACACATAGATCAAGAGACAGTTATCCTCGACTTTATTCCATTAGTACTCCAATGCACGTCAACAAACTGTTTCTCCACAGCTTTGCACTTCCAGTCGTGCAACGGTGGCAACGTCTCTCCCTGGGACCAAAAGTTTATTTCCCTAAGAGCTTCACAACAAGTAGTGCCTACGACTTCCAATGGTAACGCAAACATTGATTGGCTGTAATCCTGTGACGCTAACATCCCGTTTATGAGCGACCTTCTCTGCCCGCCCCGCACTGCAGCCCCCCGCGTAGTCACGCTCGGCTCACAAGTGTGCCCGCCACGCAGCCCTGCGCCACCCGCCGGCTCAAAGCCTGGAACAGATCCCGCCGCTACCGCGTCACGGTCGCACCGTGTCGTTGTCGGCGTCCCCCAGGCAGATGGCGTGCGGAAAGAGGCTGCCACAGAACTCGAGTGCCACGCGCTGCACGTAGCTGACAGACCTCATACCGCCGCTCGCTACGCCGCCGGCCTCCAGCCTGGGACGACGGGAAGGCGATGGCGGCTCCGCGGGTTCGAGCGAGGGGTGATGACGTCAGCATTGAGAAGGGGCGGAGCGGGGCTGCGCTCTTCTCGAAACGCTGCGACCTCGCGAGGCGGCGTTCCGTGCTCCGCGACCGAGCTCTCTTTCGCAGTGAGAAAACGTGAAAACGTGAGAAAAGCCCTACTGTTATGCAGACCAGGTGTGAGATTCTTGCCCCAGCTCAGTGGGAAAGTATGCCATTGACTGCCTGGAGTGGTTTTCGCTCCCTTACGTTGTAGGCTGAATTACATCACTCATTTACATTTTTACTTACGATAGTAAACCATACCTTAAAGATACTGTAAGAAAACAGCGTGGGATGAAAGACTTATACATTCAGAGAGACAGATAAGTGTAATTTACCAGTCAATACAATCTTTTATGAAGCAGTAGAAAAAAGTTAAAGAAGTTTTCTTTAACCTTTGTCAACATACCTGATACAGCTACTGATGGTGCCCCAGCTGTTGTTGGTAAAAAGGAGGGACTTGCAAGATTCATAGATAATGATGCAATTACCTCTAACTCACCTTTGATAACATGTCACTGCATCAGGCATCAAGAAAATGTGCGTGTAAAAGCTTTAAAAATGGTTGTCATGCAAATCATCAAAGCCGTGAATATTGTAAAGCTCAAGAGACTGAACCATCACCAGTTCTAGCAGTTCCTCAAAAGTATGGATACTGATTATGGGGTCATCATTTAAGGTGATTCAAGGTAAAATGCTAAAAAACACTTCCTGGAATCAAAAGGAGAATTTGTTCTGGATTGTGAGCCATTTTTAATCTCCATATATTTAGTATTTTGGTGGATTTGACAGTTCATTTAAATGAGCTAAATATCGAATCATACAATCACCAAGGTTGGAAAAGAACTTCAAGATCACCTAGTCCAACCGTCCACCTACCAATATTACTGCACTGAAGCATCTCTCTAAATACTTGAACATCTCCAGAGGTGGTGACTCCACAACCTCCCAAAACAGCCCAATCTAGTTCCTGACCGATCTTCTAGAGAATAAATTTTTCCTAATACCCAACCTGAACCTTCCCCAGCGCGTTTTCGAGCTGTTCCCTTTAGTCCTATCACTAGCTATGTGGGAGAAGAGGCCAACCTCCACCTCATCACAACCTCCTTTTTTTCAGGCTGTTGTACAGGTCTCCCCAGAAACTCTTCTCCAGACTAAGCAATCTCAGTTCCCTCAGGTGCTCCTCCTAAGACTTGTGTTCCACATCCCTCACTAGGTCGATCTTAATTCTCAGTCCACCATTTAGGTATTCTCCCAATCCCTCCATTCGCTTGGGAAATGATCAGGTCTATGTGTATTAACTGATAGCTTTATTTCATATTCAAATGAATTAAAAGGGAATGCACACCTCTGCTTCCAATCAAAGCAAATATACAGTACGTAATTTTCTATCTGATCCATTAAATCATGCATCTTCAAGGTGAAAATCACCGTACCCGTGCTGTATTTCAGACAATGACAGTGATGGAAATCAAGTTATGGCACATTCAAATTATGGCAAATAATCTCATGCATTTTTATACGCTAAGCACAGTCCTGTGAACAGCTAAAGTGTTGTTTTAATAAAGGAATCTGAGAATAGATTTCATGACTTGAAAAAAGAAAAAAAAATAAATCACTTTTTCGTACATTTGCAACTCCATTTTCAGCCGACAAACACAGTACTTGTAAATTTTCACAAGGAATGTATAGTTGTAATCAGGCATTCAACTAAAAAAAAAAAAATTTAGTCTCTTCACTAAACTGTCGTAAGCCCTCACTTACCAAAGAAATCCTTTGCTTCACAATTATACCTTATTCATCATTTGTGGCAGTACATACATTTATTGTCAAGGATGAAATACAGGAAGAGTAGTATTTCATCAAAAATCTCTGATGAACACTTGGAAAACTCACTAGGCCCAATGAACCAGCCTGATTAGTGCATTAGTTTCACAAAAACAAGGTCAAATATCCCAGTAGCCTTATGCTTTTGTTGTCTTTTTTTATGTTTTAATAAAAATGCATTCAAAAATAGTTGTTAAATACACTGAATTCATATAATTAGTATGCAACCCATGGCAATTCCTGTTTGCTTAATGCAGCCTAGACCAAGCTCAAAGGATGGACAACTATTAGTGTTCCACCAGTAGGATTTTCCTCACTTGAGCCATATTAAATGTTCCATTTAGAGTTATTTGTGCTCAAGTACAATGTAAAACAGCTTTCAAATATACAGGGCTGATAATACTTAACCAAAACTTATGAAAAGCACCTGCACTAACTGTTGATGTTTAAGCAAATGAAACTGGTCCTTCAAAGTTACAGCATTTTCTTTCCTGTAATAACCTAACAGAGACTATATTGCCTTTTCCTCTACCCCTTCCCAACCTGAAGGCCCATAGGGCACTACTAATCTCGCAGAAAGCAGCGCAGTTCACAGATCCATAAGCTACCTCCAACCCAGCAATTGGCTGGACTTACCATCTTGGGCCTGGGGTAAGGAAAGCATGTCATGCAGGACTTACCACTTTGGTGACAGTTTAGACATACAGCTCCCTGGCCCAACCTCTCTCTCCTCTGAAACAGATAAAACTATGTTCCTTTTGAAAAACAATAAATTTGTCCCTGCTGCTAGAAAGTTTCAGGAAAGGACAGTTGAGATGCTGAGTTTAACACCACAGAACAGCATGAAGAGCATGGATAAGTCTGAATATTCTACCTCATACCTATAGAGAGAAATACAAGCACAACACTTCCCCTCTACACACAGCATTCTCCAAGCCAACACAAGAAACACCACAGAAAAAAAGTAGGAGAATATTAAGTAGTTTTCTTGTGAGGTAAGGATAATAAAGACTGAAATCATTCAGACATTTGCATGTCATTAGGAATTATAAGCACTTTCAAGATATTTTACTATTAGCACTTATTTTATCTTCAAAGCCAGTCACTTTCAGGTATCAATCAGTACTCTTCTGGTCCAGTTTCACAACACAAAGGGGAAAGAGAAATACTAACAGATAATAATATACAGGTTACAAACTTGTGTACAGTTTTAAGCAACATTTTCTTCATTTGCAAATAGATCGATCAATTGCGTACACTTTTTTAAATGGCAATGAATCAACATTACCAGAAAAAAAAGTAGATATTGTGGTTACAGTAACACTACGTGGATAAGAAAACACTGAATGACAAGAAGACAGACTCATAATTCTTTGCAAATGCCAATAAAAAATACAAAAATTTCAATTTCCTTGAGCTTAATTGGAGCTTTATTACTTAAGCTGTGACTTCACAGTCTTCACTTTCAGCAATACGCAAAAAGGAAGCATATAAAGGTTACAACACTTAATGGAGGAAGGGAAAGGGGACAATGCCAAGGCAGTAGAACATTGAGCACTGATTTGTTCTCAAATCTCACATGAGGACTGTTGAAAAAGGCCAACTGCTTAAAAAAAAAAAAAAAAAAAAAAAACAGAAAAAAATGAAATCAAGGAAATTAATCCCAGATTGTTTCCTATATTTAAGTGAGCTGGAACAAGAGAGACACAAACACTAATGGCAAAATGCAGATAAACCAAGCAGAGTAAATCCAGACAGAACCCAAACAGTAACAGAAGCTGTATGAATAAATAAAGTCCCTAGATTAAATCAGATTTGTGCTGCCACTCAGCTTATTTCACAGACATACAGAGCTGTTCTTGACTGTGGCATGGCGGCTCAGCCTCTGCTCCTCTGAAGCCACTGTCCAACCAGGTAGAAAAATAAAGGTCTAATTCACTGGAAATTCTTTCATTTACAAAACTAATGGAATCTGGTTTCTTTATGCTTCTGTGTCAACTTATTTATCTTCAACTCCATTCTGCTCATCTTTCATTTCTGCATCTTCAGTGTGGCTGGTCTGAAGAGTAGTAGCTGGCTAAACAGAGACATATAAAACAAATGTCTTCATTTATTATAAAGAATTGCCAAAATTTGAAACAATACCAGAAATGTCATTTTAAGCTTATCACTAGAACTGATTCTCAACATCATCTAACAATATACTGAAAAAACAAAAAAAACAAAAAAAACCAATAACCAAAGTATTAAAGTACATTGCAAAAGTAGATGGCAAAAATCAGTGTTCTATTTTCTCAGTGTCTCTAGTAGTTTGCAGTGCATGAATCTACCTTCTGCAGAGAACAGGACTCCACCGTCTTTCTTAAGGGCAGAGGCATACATTTCAGTACTGTTAACATGGTCCTTTTGCACTTTTCATGGCTACAGCTTGTTTCAGCAATCTACTCTTCCATTAGCAGCACATCTTGCAATGTGCCGCACCTAGATACACCAGACTCCCAGCAGCTGTGCTGCCTGAAGGAACCTGCACAGCACAGCCAAATAATGAGCAGTTCACAGAATCACAGGTCAGAGGGGACCTCTGGAGATCATCCAGTGCAGCTCCCAATTAAACCCTGAAATTTTACATGTCAAGATGCAGAAAATTCTAGTTTGGTTGTTGCACCTTAATTATTGCTAAGACTCTTCATTAAAAACAAAATAACAATTAAGACTCTGGATAAGTCTATATGACAGTGTCTAGAAGGACAGAATATTTTCTCCCAGGATCCAGTATGCAAGGACTACCTTAGCCAGGTACAAAACCACCCTACTCATTGATAATGCTGCTTTCCTTGCAGAATCAGCAGGGAACTTTTGTGTATTTGTTTATACTTCTTCACGAGAAGGAGAACTAAATGCACAAAACTACTGCTACACTTTGAAAAGAAAAGCAAACAAACTCTTCAGAGCAGCTTGCCCATCTAACCACAGAATTACGAATTATCGCCCCTTTCCCACCCATCCGTACTATATGACGTTAGCAGGGCTGAAGCATAAAATTCATCTACAATTATCTCTGGGAGAAAATTTGATTTCTGATTTCTTATGCACCTTATTTTGAAAGAATGATGGGGGGGACGGAGGGAAGGGGCAAGGAAAGGAAAATAATTTGTGATGTAAGAAGCTGTCAGCTGACACAGTCTGAGATGCCTTAGTTGTTTTAATTGCCAGTACGCTCATTTCATTTAAGGACAGTAGGCCCAGGACACACTCACATCAGAGTCACTCAGCCACCAGAATCAACTGTTCTCAGAATAATCAGTTCAAGGACAAAAGGCACTTTTTAAATTCTTGAATGTTGTGTTTACAGCTCACCACTACTTTCTTATTAATACTGCTCTGTTGCAGTATCAGTTTAAATAACTAGAAGGATTTTATGCAACATCCTTAGTACTGAGAGCTGTCTTGTTGAAACAAGACGGTTTCATCATGTTGAGTGTTGCCTATCCCCATTATTTCTCCCCCAAAAGCAATTAGCTACCTGAATGCTGTCTGACTGTATGAGAAGTAAGCCAAATACTCAAAATTCTATCCCTTGTCTAACACGTGACATTAGACCATATGATCTTTTGAAGTAGTCCTACTTACCTTTAAGTCTTTGTCTGCAAGCCTTTGGAACATATTGGCATACATCTTCTTCTCTTTCTCATGCTGCTCCCGTATTTTTTGCTGACAAGTTACTAGTTGCACTTTAGCAGCTTTGTTACTTGGATAGAGTTGTATCACCTTCTGAAAATCTCCTCGGGCCAATTCAAAGTCATTGACAGCCAAGTGGGCTTCTCCACGCCGGAAGAGGCCTTTTTCATTGCTGCTATCCAGTTCAAGTGCCTGCATTTAAAATAGAGTAAGTAAGAAAGAAAAAAACAAAAACAGCATTTGAGAACAATGTAGTGGTTGGGTTTTTTCTGTTTAATTTGCTTTTTTAAAACTAACATGCAAGTCAGAGTATCAGCAACTGCTAGAAAATGACCATTCTTATTTTCATGGTTGACAGGGCTTAGTAAAAAGCTAAACTAAATACAGCAAAAATAGGTAGAGAAAGATACAAGAAGCCATATCCAGCACCTTATGTTCGTTTTATTTCCTCATGCCCAACTATCAGCTGATCAGAAAGTCTGAACACCACACAGCTGAGTATTCCTCAAGTCACTAAAGCAAGAGATAAACAGTCAGATTGCTTGAGCAGCTTAAGAGTGAATAAACCCTGCTACCTTGTTGCAGTTCTCCAAAGCCTGAGAGTACTCCTTCAACTTGAGATGGCACATAGCTAGATTAAGGTGAGCAGCAAGCCTCAAGCTCTTGGCTTTTGTATCTTCCTCATCAGAGAGTCCTGATTCATGCTCCAGCCACGATACAATCTTCTTGTACTGTAATGCTGCTCGTTTGTATTTCCCTTCCTGTAAACAAGGCAATTACATTTTCACACAGCTCACCATAGTAATTTTTACTGAAACTTCCCCCTGCCCTTTCATCTTACCTAGAATGATAGATCTGAAAAAAGAAAAAAAATTAATCAGAGTAATCAGAAAACTTCCATTACCAAAAATACACTATCATCATAGTGTATGACTATGGTAGTGGATTAGAAAATCTATTTGGACATTGCAACTGTAAGACTATCTTTTCCATTTTTTTTTTTCTTTTTCCTTTTCAGACACCTTTCTCCGTAGTCCTTTCCATAAAATGACATGGATAAAACCATGAACACCACTCTGAAATGATCAAAGCTTAGATCGTTATCATCAGTTCATAACATGGATAAGAAATGTTATTATTTCTTGGGTATTATCATTTACCTTGAAGTACTGAGTGCCTCTCTCCTTCACCATGCAGCTTTGTTCCAATTTCTCTTCTGTATTCATTTCCCAAGACTCCTTAGCCTATCCAAACAGGAATAGTTCAAGACAGTGACAGGGAAATCACACGACTGTGCTGTTTCTCAGTAACAGCACACAAGAGACAGACTTGGAAGGAACAGTTTCGCACAGCTTCTGGAAACTGAGCTAGAACAAGACAGCAACTTGACAGCGACAGGAGACCAGTAAGGACAATTTCAATCAAAAGCTCCCAGAATGTAATCATCACCTACAGTAACATCTTCCTTTTCAGGTCAAAATTTTAAGGATTCAGTTTGTCCTTGTTTAAGCTGCATCAACAATTCCCGTACCTCCCAATTTGTATGCCCTCATTCCCACCTTCTCAAAGCCTTTGAGTTTCACTTCATATTGCAGTTCTGCATCCGGAGGGATCTGAAATTTCTCCTTCCCAGTACTTCCAAAACCGTAGCTGTAAGATAGGGAAGGTGAGGGGGAAAGGGGGGGTGGGGAAGAAAGTTACAAAACCGGATACTCAGGACAAACCTCTACACAGGAAGCTGGAGGTAAAAACCACACAAATCTGCCTATATTATTGCAAGACAAACTCTTCGAGAACTGCAGATAATTTTCCAGAATCTGCATGCACAAGACAAAAGACAAAAACCTAGGATTAATTTTGCTGATTTCCACATTACCTTTTTTTTTTTTTTTGTTTGGTTTGGTTTTGTGCTTTTATTTCTGAAGTTTTACTTGTTTGGTCGCTACTGTTTCTATGAAGCGTAAGAAAGTAAAAACACCAAAAAACAAAAAAAACCCTTTAAAATGGCATATATATTGCTTTTTATTGTCAGCCAAGAGAGGCTACTTCCTTTATAATGTCTGTATTCTAACTATTTCCAGAAAGAGACAGCAGTAAGTGAACAGCTGTGCACAAGATACTGCCAATCCACTAATTAACACTAAATGTCAGTACAAAGGTTCTGCCCTGAGACTCCAGTAAGAAACTGCATACTAGCAGAAAAGCACTGAACAGAGGTCTACTTTTCCTTTGTTCTACCAAATTCAGTTCCAGCTTAAAATAACTTTAAAACAAACACATTCAAATTGGATAAAAGCAATAAATATAAAATGAAGTGCATAAAGTGGATAAAAGTGCAAACTCCACTTCTTTTATATTTGTTCACACTGTAAGGGGAAAATTCTGCTTGCCTTTAAAGGCATTTAAAGTCCCTTCCTATCTTTGAGTTGGTGGTTCTTGGTCTCAGAATTCTGAAATGTTAGATCCAGGATTTAGACAAAACACCACCTTATTTCCCACAGAAAACCTGAATGTCTTCTTCCAAATTGCTATAAAATTCAAGCAAACACTTCCTAGTGGCAAAGGATTTCAGATACTCTTAACCACATTTCACCTGAACAGTATACCTTATCAAAAAGCTACTCAGAAGGCTTACTGGAACTTTTACTGTTCTGTTACTTAATCCAGGTGTCTTTAGAAACTACTGCTGTATATTTAAGCGTACTTTCATTATGAAGCATCCATATGAATGTACGTTAAAAACAGCAACAGTATTTGCTATAATATTTACGAGGATCAACACTATAGAGACTTACACCAACTTCTTTTTCAATGCTAATATCAGTGGCTAAGTAATCTTAACTTCTTATCTTCCATAAATCAAAGTTTCAGGTCTGATTATGTGTTTACAGTAGCACTGAAAAGAGCTGAAAAACAGCGCAAATAAACATATCATTCTTACCAGATGCCTACAATAAGCCCTCTCAAGTATCAGAAGATGACAAACAGCTTACTTGGGTTTGAGATAGAAAATGGATTCCTCAGATTTCTCCATTTTCTGGATTGCTTTTTCCAGACCATGAGGAAGATCATAGTTATCACCTTCGCCAATCTCAAACCGCAGCTCACGCCTATCAAAAGCACGATCTTTGTATCGGCCTTCAAACTGGACTGGTTAAAAAAAAAAAAAAAAAAAAAAAAAAAAGAGAATCCAGATACAAATCAGGTGTCTATGTGTGATAAGGGGTAGGCAGCACAGACAATACAAGGAACAAAGCTTCCCCTCCCAACCAGTCTTTTCTCCTTTCAAGGGTAACATATGCATATCAGCTACTGGCAACATATTCCACTTCTGCTTCTTTAGTTAATAAATGCTTTTTCTTTCAAGCTGTTGCATTGTGTGGCTTTTTTTTTCCCCACTTCAACAAATGGATATACTTTATTAGACTCCTTTAACTTTTGTGATAGGCACTGTATCAGATCTGGTATCTCTGAAGAACACAACCGCTGCTGGAAAATCTAACCTTTTCTAGAATAAAGAGAAAGAAAGCTTACTTTTAGTTGTTATGTTACTTGCTAATGGAAAGAAGACAGATATTATTGTCTTCCAGAACAAACAAATCACAGGTAGGGAAAAACACACTTTCCATCACAGTAAACCCATTTACTATTTGTATAATATACATACTTTCTACCAGAGCACCCTCATTGGGCTTCGAGTAGCCTTCGCCTTTCTTACGGATTCTTCGGATGATGCCACCATCTTCATCCTCAGTGAGGTCTTCTCCCTTAAACTCAAACAGCTCTATCTATGAAGGGAAGAAAAATATTGCATTTCCTTCTATCACTTTAAGTCAGCAACTTACAGAATTTGTACTTGAATTCTTTGAAACTATAGCTATTAAGACAGTCACTGTCTTCATACCCTGTAAGATATTAGACAGCCAAGACTACGAAGATGCCATATTTAGCACATACTAAATGGAAACCTACTGAGCAGTTTCTAATGATTATTTAGGCTTTTTTTCCCTCCAACAACTTTGGTCTTCCAATACTACAAATAAGACCCTTTAATTGAAAGGACTGTGAGACTGACTTCTGAGTAAAGCTTACATGAGCCACAATACTTAAGGACTACTACAGAACACACAAAAAAAGCTTCTATTGGTTCATTAAGCAGCATCCTTTCCCCACAAAAACATAAAAGAATATCCTAAGGTAAGACTGAGTTATAAGTAATGCAAGGAGAGAAGGAGCAGGAAAGTTAAATATAAAAGATCTAATCCTTCCCTTAAGTTCTGATCACGTCCTTAATTTAATCTATCGTCAAATTCAGATCAACTTTAAAGGGCTTATAAAAGAGCCCAAAATATTCCAAATCTTTGTCCAGCAACAAAACAAATTCAGGAATGAGATATTGTTCTTACATTCCCCCCTCTACTTGTGCTTATCTTTCTGTATTGTGGGAGCATTTCAGAAAAATGTAGACAGAAAAATAATTTAGTCATCTTAGTTTCAATCGCTGAGAAAGAAGTCTAAGTAAAGTATCTGCAAAAACACAACAAAGTCATTATCTGGTCCAGCTTGTAGCCTTGAACTGCTGCTGCAACAAATTGCTCAAGCTTTTTAAGTGCTAATGTTGGACTAGACTACCCAGTCTGAATCTTCACATGGTCTTCCAAGACTTTAACTCACATCACAGTTAGACACAATGGAAAAATGGCCTAGTCACAAAACAAACTTTGATGGCTACAAAATTGATTAAGAAAACCTTCTGCTATCTTATCTGTGAATAAAACAGTAATAAAGACTGCACAGAAAAGCAATACAGTGTAGTTAACGCTGATTAGATCAGGCATATCCAACCCGAGGGCCACATATGGCCCAACCCTTGCCCCACACCATTATAGTAGTGGTTCTTCCCCACTACGGCCCAACCCAGTCCCAGGCATGCAACCATCACTCAGCAACAACAAAACATCAATCAGTACGCCACTAAGGTTGTCTCAGCTGAAACAAGGACCAGAGGAGGGCACAGTGCAGTGTTAAGTCTGCCACTCACATTTTGTTGAACTGAAACCTATGCCTAATGAACATGACATGCTCTTGTGCTGCCTAGTGAATAAAGCACAGCGATTGCCAATAGTACTTCAATCTACCCAATCCTCTCAAAATAGAGCGGAACCCCCCAAAAAGAAAACTGTGGATGAAGGAAGAATGCTCAAACGGAAACAGGCAGATGAGGACAAATGATGAGCACTGCGGTTAACTTCTAAGAAAATAGTGTCAGTTTCAAAGATTAGAATTTGAAAAGACATCCTAAGCAAAAACACGCTGCCAAACCCAACGCATTTCACTGAATGCTTTGTAAACACAAAATAGTGGAACTGAAGAAAAGCCTGTCATCTCAACAAAATATTTTAAATAAAGTTAGAACTCAAGTAACTTCATTATAAAAACTTGATATGTGGTAGCAAACTTGACCAAAAAAAAAAAAAAAAATGACAATTTATTAAGCAACATATGGAAAGCATATCAAACATATTTTGTCCTGACTATAAAAAAAATAAAAAAGAAATTTCTAAAATCAATTTGTTTCACCAGATTATAAACAGGCAAACTGAAGAAATAGGAAAATCTATCAAAACAAATTTGGAAAGTAAAGCTGCTGATTTCCAATTTTCTGCTTTGGCAACAGATTAAAGTATGACACTCTAAATACAGCTGTACTTGCCATTTTTATTAGAGGTACTGAAAATGAATACAACATCACTGAAGAAATGGCTTCTCTGGTGCCTTTAAAAGACACAAATACGCCTCTTGTATGAGACAGTCAAAATTACAATGAAGTGGTTTTATTTAAACTTTTTCATCATATCTGGTATAGCCACCAGTGCACTGAAGACAAGTTGCTAAAAAAGAGGAAATTAATGGAAGACAACACAATTGCCAATATATAATGCAATTCAAAGTTTTCAATTTCATGAAGTTCAAGTTTATCAGATCATCACCAATTCCAGGAGTTCCTTAAATGTATGGATGCTGATCAGGGGGACATCATTTACATTTCTGAACCTGGTAAGTAAGTAAAGGTTGAACACTAAAAATATATGATTTGAGAAATGAAATCAAGCCCTTTCTGGAATCAAAATGAAAATTTGTGCCAGAACATGAAGATTAAAAATGGCTCACAGATTTAGCATTTCTGGCGGATGTGACCACTCCATTCAATGAATTAAACATGAAGCTTCAAATCATCTGCTATGATTCAAACATAACAGTGTTTGAAATTAAACTTTAAATTACAGCAAGTTCAAGTCATGTCACATAATTTCATGCATTTTGACACACCAGCTAAACACTGTGCTGCGAACAGTGAAAAATATGCAGCCTTGCTTTTCGTTTTGAAAAAGAAACTTGAGAATAGGTTTAAGTATTAAGAAAACACCCTATTTTGTTGTATGTGCAGTTCTGTTTTCAGTTCTTCTAAATACATTACCTGTGCATTTTCAATGTATAGAATTACAATCAGATATCCAACTCAAGTATCTGATCGCATCTGTTTATGAGACTTTTGTGGGACCTGTCTTAACGGAGAAAAATATCCCTCATTTCACAATCGTGTCTTATTCATTTCTTTTTTTGGTAGCATGTACATTTGTGAACAATTATTGTCAAGGATGAAACATAGGAAGAGTGAAATTTCACCAAAAATCTCTGACGAACACCTTGAGAACTCAAGAATGCAACCACTTCCATTGAAACAGTGCATCAGTTTCACAAAGACGGGATCAAATATACCACTAGTTGCATATTTTTTTTGCTCTTTAAAAAAATATTATATTTAAAAATACTAAAAAAGTAAAAGTTTTGTTACTTATATTAAACATACTACATATTCAGCCCAAGAAATTTCCTCTTCACTCGCTGCTCTGCAGGCAAATCAGAAGTTTTCACGCCTATGGTTTACAATGAAGTGTCTTATTTTAAAAAAGTTCAAAGCCATCACTCCAGAGATTCATGAACTGAACTAAACCTACACGGAATACAAAAGGAATTGAATATGCATTTGCACAAAGATTATTTCTACTTGACATTTTGATGGATATCTAACACCAAATATAATCCTGGTCTAATTTAGTTTACCTAAGACAGATGTCCCAAAATGTTCTACTGATGACAATACAGGTTTCTCCACTTCTTTTTACACACTCACTCCCCAACATATTTTACGGAAGGATCATGAGGAATAAAGAAAATATATAGAGACATTTGGATGCTGATGTGATGATTACTAAGACCTACTAAATCTTCGAAGAACAGTTTTTGAGAGTCCTAACATGAGAACATATACAAAGAGTTTTATTTGAAAGAGAACTTACAATTCAAGACTCTTACAATACAAGAGTACAAAATTCTGGTGTGGTGACAGCCATTTGCAAAGGAACCATGCTGGCATTGGTTGTTTTTTTGTTTGCTTTTGTTTGTTTATAAGACAAATTTAAAAGTTTATTTTAAACTAGAAAGAAAATGTAGGAGGTAGACTAAAGAAAGTAGAAGCTTCATAGATATTCATCTAACATTCCTGACCAAAAATAAATTATATTGCATAATTTCCACTGTGAAATATCATGTTCTTTGTTTACTCTTCAGTCATAGAGTTTTAGTGACTGTATCTCACTTACCTCAAAAATCAGCGTAGCATTGGGAGGTATCTTTGGTGGGCTGCCAGCCAAGCCATAGGCATATTCTGGTTTACACGTAATCTGACAGATTTCACCAACCTTCATAGTTGCAACAGCAATGTCCCATGCTTTGATCACCTCACCTGTAAAAAGCAAATTTTTATAATGATTGCTAGGTATACATGAAAGACATAATCAGCTCTGTCAGTATAAAAAGCTGAGAAATACTGACTTAAACTCATTCAGGTTTACATGCATCAGTTTTAACTGTAATCAAGTTATGAAGTTACTTGGACACCCAAAATTAGCTAATTTTTTTTCATTCTATAGTGATTCTTCTTCTCCCCTCACTTTTTCACCCATAGAAAACATAGGTAATCTGGACACAGATCATCCCTGAAGCACCTGGCACAACATCAGGTGTGAGCAAATGGGAATATTCTTCAAAAAGGAAGGTCTTAGGATAAGAGATTGTCGTCTTGTATTTTGAAAACAATCCACAATAGCCTTTTCTCTCTGTACTTTATCAGATGCAAAGACCAACAGAAGTGGTAACTGAAAGTTGTGCCTGTTTATAACCAAAAGGGGAAGGAAAGCAGAACAAGTATCCCTTCTAAAGCCAAAGTAACAAAAACCTCTCACTCAAGCGCAACCTACTCAACCTACTCATGGTTCCTTTCAGTTCAATCAGGTTGCCTTTTATTATTTGACTTCTACCATTCGGTAAAATTCCTATCATTCCAAATTTCAGGACTTTGTACAATTTATCTCCCAAATAAAAAGCCAGTAGATGGAGAACTCCTAGTGAAAAACACTGATTGAATAGTAAAATTCGCTGGAAGTAGAATGTTTGGATTTTTGTACAAAAAAAACAAAAAAAAAGTTTTTGATAATGAAGAGACTCCAACAGTTAAAGGGAGCTTAGAGAAAGAGAGTGCACATTTCTGCTTTCCTTCAGTTGCGGCTGATGGCTGCCCCTGTGCAGTCTGTCCCAGTAGTTGTGCACCCTTGTCCCAGTACCCAGCCACACTTAACTCTTCTTGAATTTGAGGCAACAAAATACAAAACCAATACATGCTATTTAAATGCTTTTTAATCGCTGTATCTCACAGTAAATTCCCACTGAGGTGAGCCTACTTCCCCTGGAGTGTTGTATCTGAGGTCCTGAGAATTCGGAGGCAGATATACAGCATGCCCACTCAGAAAGATCTCAAAGCATTTCTGATTTAATCTATGTGAATAAACCTTAAGCTCTGAAAACTAGTTTAAATTGCAGTTTTAGTAAGTGGAAGAGCCACGTGTGCAAGGAAGCTCCATCTCAGTATTACTAAGATTGATCAAAAGCAAACATAAGGTATTACCTTTCCCCAGGTCAAACGAAAACTTGTCTCTCCTGTCCAGACTGGAGTCAAATTTTGTGCCATCAAGAAGCCATCCTGTATAATGGACAGTCACTTTATCACCTATCATCGGAGACTCAGTACCAGTGCCTTCCCTCTTGACAACCTGAGAAAAACAGCAAGCAACACTAAGATGATCAAAACTACATTTGCTTACTGGACGTCAGTTCTGTTCACTTAAGGTGTGTGCCTTACCATCTCCAGTCAACAACAGATCTGCAAGTTTGCTTCGGTTATCTAGAAATGTTACAACTAGTCTATCTAGAGATAAGTAGCATTTCAAATGCAGGAAGAACATAAAGGTGGCTCTGCTGCCAGCTGTAAAATCCTCTGGTTACTATTCTGCTATTCTGATACAAAGCTAATGAAAGGATCTTCCCTGTAATCAGTGCAATGATAGTAGTAGAGAATTGGTTTATGTATGTTCAGTTAGATCTTTTCAATAGATGTAACCTGCACTCCTGCAACTACTACTACCAGCTCTTGACACCAAGCACATCTATATTAGGCCCAAGCTTAAAACGCACCATCTCAAGCTCCAAGAGATGCTGATATTAAGATGGAGTGCCCTCATTTTCAGGCTGTGAGAAGTAGTCACTTCAGCCTGCATAAATCAGTACTAATCACAACCATCTATCCACACAGATAGAAGAGATACATACACTCTGCCAAGGCACCATCTTTAATTCCAGCGTCCGACCACGTGCTGGGGGCGGGACGGATCTGTCCCTCTCCTCCCCCCTCGCCCCCCCAAACCTAGCGAGCCGAGAACTCATCCCGCTTTCCCATACCCACGCGGGGCAGGGACTGACGCCCCTTCTTTTTCCCTCCACCTCTCCCTTGGGACCTCCTCACGGAAAGCGCGGGCTCCTCGTCCCCAGCTCCCACGGGTAGCCCCGTATACAGGCAGCGCCTGCGTAGGCCCAGACAGCCGCTTTCAGCGCTGCGGCTGATGTGTAACCATGAGGGCTGCGCGAGCATTCCGCGCCGAGCGGCCCGGTAACAGCCCTACCCGAGAGTGTTGGAAGGAAGACGAAAGAAGCGCCCGCTCGCAGGCCGCTCCGGAGGGCCCTGCACAAAGCTGATACCCCACCGCCCCCAAGTAGTAGACTGCGGCCACCGCAGCCACTCGGTACCTTCAAAACGCCTTCATCCCGCTTAGGGGTGATGTCCACCCCCTCCAAGGGAGCCCCGTCCGTTTTCATCTCCTCCGCCGTCATTCCGTCTGTCGCTGCCACTGCTGCGCTCGGAAAGGGCTGCCCAGTGGAGTCGGCACCGGCCGCCGCGCTGGGCTGATGCCTCGCTGCACCTCCGGCTCCAAACAGCGAGAGAACAAGCACCGCGCACACTTTCTCTCCTACCTCCACTGCAGCGCGAGCCGGGGTCAGTGAGGAGGAGGAAGGGGAGGGGGAGAGGGAGGGGCCGAGAAGTTTCTAGAGAGGCGGCCGGGCTGCCGCAAAGCGTCCGCCCGTGGTAGGGGCGGATTAAAGTGCGCGTCGTCCCTCGGGGCGGAGAGACCGTCGCCGACGGGGATGTGGAGGAGCTTAGAAGAGGCGGTTGAGCTGCACTGGGCTGAAAGAGTATTTGGCAGGCGATGTGCTCAGTTTTTCCTGCGTGATGGGGGTGCCTGGGTCTGTAGAGAGTAGTAGCCGCTGGGCTTCGGGTGTTTCCCCTAAACCTTGCTGTAGTGTTCCCAAATGTATGGGTGTCGTGGCTTGTCCTCTCGTGCGCTGGTAGGTGGTTTATAGACTAAGTTGTACCAGTAGGCTCGGAAACAGTGCATTGAGCGTGAGTAGCGTGCCTGTGGAGTGCGGGCGTCTCCGCTTGCTGACCTGGTGGTCCTGTAATAGGCTGTCATAACCTGGGCTTGATCTGCTGGGGAATAGAGAGAAGTATATAAGCTGTTTCTGGCCCAGTGGGACTTAGTACTGTAAGCAGCAAAAATATGGAGGCATTTAATGAATTTTTGCAGCATTCTGCAAAATTATGCACATTCTGTGGTGAGCACTAATGCCCAAGTCACTGCTCTCTCTAGTCATCCAGCTCCTGGCTTCTCTTTTCTGTGTAGATTTTATATTACCACACTGTACGTTGAGTTAAACTAACCTTTGCTTGTCATCTGCTTTTCATTAGGTAATGAAATTGAAGGAAAAGCAAGAAGGTGTCCTTGCAAAATAGAGCTTGGGAAGAACAAAAGAAGGATAGGAGGTCCCTGCAAAGCAGTCTAGAGCTGAGAGGAGTTTCAGTCACAAGGATCTAGTTAAACAAACTTATTTTTCAGGTGTATGGCAGGAGATACTAGCTTAGCACCTGTGTGTAAATCATGTTTGCTGGACTCTTCTGTAAGTAATATAAACCCAGTGCAATAGGCTGTGTCCCTTATTAGCTTTTCAAAGAGTGCTGAAATACTGTCTAAGGGCCTCCATTAAGGTTCAATAGACAAAAGTTGAAAATGAGGTATATGTGGAGGGCTTTATGGAAAAGTGGCACAGGTGACTTAAAAATAAAAAAAGGTAGTGGGTGTTTTAAGTTATGTCAATGGCATAACAACACTAGGTATGTAGGAATGGAAAGCAAATCACAAGATAGACAAAAAGTCTGAGTTTTCCCTTTTTAAGCCTTTTGAGATATGTTTATAGTTCCTCAAAGGAAAGGAAAAGAACCTCAAAGTCATGACAGACCTGTTTTCAAGAAGATAAACGTAGAGACAATTTTGAAAGCAAGATGGGGTGAACGATGAAATAAATATTTCAGAATTTGATGGGTTCAAGCAGGAAAGGTAAAAATGAAAGTTTTGACAATAGCTTTCAGGTTGTTACCAAAAGGCTAGTAAAATGAGTGTCTACGATAGCAAAGAACAGCCTGGGCAGTAAAATATCCCAAAAAAACTAATTGCAGGAAGACTCTAAAATTGCCTTGAAGGACGTGAAGCCTAGCTACTGCTTGTCTGCAGTTTGCTGCATCCTTTGTTTCATACGAATTTCCATGTCAGGTGCCATTTTGTCAGATTGCCCCTCTGCTGCCATCTTCCACATGGCAACAAAATGTAATGGAATATTGGTGGGAAGGTTCAACGCCTGCTTTACCACCAACTTCCTCTGACATGGAACATGTTGATTATGTGTCAACATAGTAAAATAGCAGGCATTACTTTCAGAGCAGCCTTCCTTTAAAGATTTGCCAGAGATGAAAAGGTTTGGATATAAAAGAGGGACAGAGAGCAACATAGCTCTGCTATAGCTTTTTTTGAATTGCAATTTTTATGTTGTTGGAAGCAGTGGTGCTACGCTTGGTAGTTCACACCAGGGTACAAATGTCCATCAGTATAATGTTGTGCTGTCAGTTTGTAACACGTTGCTGTGTACGCCATTAAGGATGTCAGCTGCTGCCTGCAGACAGGTTAAACCCTTTATATTTTACTTTCTCAGCTTCACTGAGATACCCCCATTATCCTTGCTTTCAGCAGTATATAGCAAAACAAGTCCTTTGTTGTCCTTTAAACTTAGAAGAGAGAAAGTTGTTTCTCATTTGCAATGCGGCCTGTCCCCTGCTCTGTGCTATGTTTGCAGTTGTCAGTGTGCAGCCGTCGCTCAAATATTGGTGAGCTATTAATCATAAGTGGGCTAAAACCAGGACAAGGAGAGGGAACAGTACAGTGCTAACTCAAGTTATGGCAAATAATTTTATGTATTTTAAAAGACTGGCTAAGAACCGTCTCCTCAAACAACAAAAAAATATACATCTGTGCTTTCCATTGTGTCAAATAAATTTGAGAACAAATTTCAAGATTACAAAAATACTATTTTTTTGTGTGTATATTTTTGACTGTTTTCAGATGACATAAATACATTACCTACAATTTTTCACATGGAAAGTATACAGTTGCAATCAGACATTCAATTAAAAATTTTCATATCTCATTTCTGGATGTTCATAAGCCCTATCTTAACAGAGAAAAATATTCCTTGCTTCACAGTCATGCCTTATTCATATGATCATTTTTGGTTGTGTGTATATTTGTGAACAACTGTTTTCAGGGATGAAGCACAGGAAAAATGAAATTTCATCAAAAATCACTGAGAAACACTTTGAGACCTCACAGAGAATTGCAAGCGCTACCATTGAGCTGGGCTGATGTGTTAGTTTCAAAGGAACTAACAAAAGTTCAAATATCCCGCTAGTTTTATAGTTTTGTTGCTCTCCTCCTTATGTTATAATAAAAAATACTAGAAAACGTTTTATTACTTATATACATTAACTATGTTATATATTTTATGGAGGCAACTCCAAAAGTAATACCTGCTATTTTATTATGTTGGCCCACAACATGAGAAGCAGGTATTGGTGGTATGGCTGTAATGGATGAGCATCTCCACCAATATTTTACTACTTTTTTTTTGCCATGCAGAAGATGGCAGCAGAGGGGCAGTTTGTCCAAATGACTTCTGCACTTTGGCCACAACAACCCCAGGCAGCGTTACAGGCTTGGGGATGAGTGGTTGGATGATTGTGAAGAGAAAAGGGACCTTGGGGTGTTGGTTGATGCTCGGCTGAACATGAGCCGACAGTGTGCCCAAGTGGCCAAGAGGGCCAACGGCATCCTGGCCTGCATTAGAAATAGTGTGGCCAGCAGGAGCAGGGAGGTGATCATCCCCCTGTACTCAGCACTGGTGAGGCCGCACCTCGAGTACTGTGTTCAGTTTTGGGCCCCTCACTACAAGAAAGACATTGAGGCCCTGGAGCGTGTTCAGAGAAGGGCAACAAAACTGGTGAGGGGTCTGGAGCACAGGTCTTATGAGGAGCAGCTGAAGGAGCTGGGAATGTTCAGTCTGGAGAAGAGGAGGCTCAGGGGAGACCTCATTGCACTCTACAACTTCCTGAAGGGAGGTTGTGGTGCAAAAGGGTCTGGCCTCTTCTCCCAGGCAAATAGTAGGACCCGAGGAAATGGCAAGAAGTTATACCAGAGGAGGTTTAGGTTGGATATTAGGAGAAACTTTTTCTCTCAGAGGGTGTTCAGGCACTGGAATGGCCTGCCCAGGGAGGTGGTGGAGTCACCATCCCTGGCAGTGTTCAAGAGGCGCCTGGATGAGGAGCTACAAGAGATGGTTTAGTAGCTTTTGGCACTGATAGGAATGGGAGGGTGGTTGGACTAGATGATCTTGCAGGTCGTTTCCAACCTTGTGTTTCTGTGATTCTGTGATTCTGTGATTCTGATGCGGAAGTGTTTGTGAAGCAAAGATGTGTGTCATTGAATTCCTCCATGCAGAAAAAAAGTGTACCCATTGACATTAATCAACACTTGCCGAACGTTTAAGGAAATCGAAGAGAGGATGTGAACACAGCAAGTCAGTGAATGATGTGTTTCAGCAGTGATGATAGTAACAGGTCATCTCTGCTGGTGCACGTTTTTACAAGTGTGGCATGCAAGGCTTCTGTTTATGGGTGATAACAGTGCAGAACAAACGGTGGTGACTATGTTGAGAAATGGTGTTTTGTACCTGAGAATTTGATCTATAAGACAGTGTTACTGTGCTCATCGTATCTGTTGTAGTTTCCATGGAAATAAATAGGAGGCATTATTTTTGGAGTGACCTTCACGAATAAAGCTCCAGACAATTTCCCTCTTCTCAGTGCAGCCCAGGCAAGCCAAAAGGTTGGGCATCCATGGTTTATGTGATACATACTGCCACTGCCCCTTTTAGATCATGGTTCCAGATTTTAAAAAAGACAAAACAGTCATTTAAAAATAAATATCTCTTATGATTCTGTGCATCCATGTCTTTACATACTTTCATGGGCAGATAGGAATTTAGTCAAATTTTAATTAAAATTTTGATTACATTTGCCAATGTAAATGTATTTTAAAATGCCTGAGCAGGTGTAATCAGCTGATTTCATTCTATTCTTTCCTAATCTTCAGAAAGCAATTGAGATTGCTGGATAGCTATGTGCTCAGACAGTAGTGATTTCTTTTTCTTTGCATTCTGAACCAGTGAGTAGCTGCCATCATCAGAAGTAATGGGCAATTCCTGTTGATATTTTTCAATATGAAGAATATAACCAACATTTTACCCATAAGTAATTACAGATGGCAATTGCCAGATTTATTCTGCTGCATTTTTTTAATTGCTTTCTTGACCTTGTCTTTGTTAACCTGGTTCAATCAGTCTGTATGGATTACATTTTTTCCCCTGGCTGTTATCAACAGCCACCATTGGAAAGTATAAACTATTGGAAGTTTTTATGATGTTGCTCTTGGTGAATCTAGCTTTTATGTGACATTTTAGAGTTACTAGTTTTACAGTCTCACCTACTCTTCTCTGTCTTTGTTTTCCTTTGAATTGCTTATCTTTGTTTCTTTGACTTTTTTTGTTGTACATTTTTTCTAACTGTGTCTTCCCTGACACCCTGACGCAAGCTTTCTTGCTTGGCTGCCTGTCAGTGCTTTATTTCTACTAGAAGCTTTTTTTTTTTTTTTTTTTTTTTTTTTTAAGGGTTCTTGCACAAGTGTAAGTGTTGTTTCACTTTTGCTTTAAATCCATTGAACCTGTGAACCTGGATTTATTACTTTTTCCCTACCAACTTTCTTATACATTGTTTGGTCTTTACATTTCATGGCTTACTGCTTTAGCCTATCCTACTGGTGGTCTGATGATGCTCATTCTTATGCAGGTACTGAAAGGTGTGGAAAAGCATGTGGGACATAGTTCAGTCCTAAGATTTTTTGTCCCATTTTCAAATTAACACAAATCTGAACCCATTCTTCAGTGGTCCAGCTTAACAGTTTTATTCTGAATGTTGTTCATATGTGAGCATACTCTGACTGTGACCCAAGTTCCTGATTGCTCCTGCAATACTGTCCTGCAGAGCAAAGCCTGAGCATGTTACTGTCTTATCATGAGCCCAGGCTCTCACTTGTATATTCAAGCCATCTCTTACTGTAGACACTTTCTTTCCGTACAAGAATGTCATAGAACTTTTAACTACACTTTGATTCTAAGAAATCAATGCATAGAAACTTAACAGCAAAGTTTTGTTACCATTAAGCAAAGCATTCTTTACCAGTAGCGCTGGGGTAGCATTGTGAGAACTCTCCAAGAATACTCCACCAGTTGATCACTCATGAACAGGTCATAGTTTCACATTAATTACATAGTAATTACAATCCCAAATTCGTTATCGTATCCACTTCCAATGACTGTCCAACAGACATAGCCTTATTTGGTGATCTTCAATATCATTCAGTTCCTTCTAGCACGGTGATGGTCCATTGTCAGTCTATTGTTAGTCCTTAAAAGGGGGTCCTTTACTTTTTCCCAACACTCCTTTTGTCCCAAAGGTTGCTGTGGAGTGCAATGACAATTTTAGAAGTCTCTGTACACATAGATAAGGAAGACAAAGGGGAACGTCTTGATGTCTGTCACATTTTAGGCTAATTCTGCCTGGTATATGTGGATCCTGGCTTTAATTACTTCTTCAAATTAACACCCCCTCTTCCCCTTTTCAGTGAGCTTGGAAATTTTTCGCAAAAGCTCATATTGCTCATACTTAATCACAGCAGGCAATGCCCAAACCTTTTGGGTTAATTTCTTAAGTTTATACCAAAATGAACTTTACAATTAGTTATATCAGAATTGTCACTAATGACACTAATAATGGATGAATTAACACTTAACAACATTTGCCCTGAGGTCTGTTTATGGGAACTGCTGAGTCACAGCCTGAACCTCTGACTGATCACCTGAGGCGAGCAGTGAGTCAGCCAGAGGAGCACAGGTAAAGGCAATTCACCTGTGCTACTGGAAGGGGTGGAGCCTGGCTGCACCTCTCCTAGATCCCATTTAAGAGCTGGCTACCAGTGGGGAAAGATCTCTTCTGGAGATCTGCTCTGCTGGAGTTTTGTAAGTGAGCCTAGGATACAGGTAAGCTTTCTATCTGTTCTCTTCTGTTATCGTAGTCTGCTTTGCCTTACTCTCTTGTTTGTTTGTATTGTAATTGTAACACCTTAATGTTCGTTGATTGTAGAATCTGATTCAGTTCATTCTGGGTTTTATTATACTTTTGAGTTTATCTACTGAAATCCTAGCCTTTCTAGGGTTCAGAGATTCATAATACCAAAATAAGGCTCGCTAATCTTTGTTGCAAAGTTTCAAAAAACAAATGGGATAGGTTTTTCAAGCACAACTACAAATGGCATTTGCAATCTATATTCTTTTACACTATTTTAACATAAATGCTTCAAATTCAGGAATTGGTAAAATGCTTCTTTTACATATTGCTCACATAAAGTTAAGTCATGAGTCCTTGAAATGGTAAGATCTAGTATGCATGTATAAAAAAACCAAAACAAAACAAAAAAAACAGGTAAGGTAAAGTAATCGACCTGCACATTACTTCTGGTTTAGTCACATTATAATATATGACATTCCCTAGGCACCGACCATCTACACATTTCACATATCTTGCATAGGGTTTGCCAGTTAATCTATTTTCTGATGTGATTATGGCTTCAGGATGGTACATGGATTTGGGATGGGGTTACTTCTTGCACATAGGCAGGCATGTCCAACCCGCTGTTCGTGAACAGCGTGCAGCTCAGCATGGCTCAACCCCTACCCACGCTGTAAAGGTGGCAGCTTTTCTTCACTGAGTGGCCCTGGGCGTGCACCCATTGCTCAGCAACAACCAAACCTTCATTGTGTTATTAATGCTGTGCTGAAAGCAGGGCATGGAGAAGACAGTGCTGGCTCAAGTGACAGCAAGTATTTCTATGCACTTTGAAATACTGGCTAACCACAGTGCTCTGAATAGTGAAGAATACACAGCCATGCTTTCTGATTTGATAAAGGAATTTGAAAATAGAATCATAGAATGGTTTGAGTTGGAAGGGACCTATAAAGGTTATCTAGTCCAACTCTCCTGCACTGAACAGGGGCATGCACTGCTTGATCAGGTTACTCAGAACCTGGTCCAGCCAGACCTTGAGTGTCCCTATGGACAGGGCATCCACCACATCTCTGGGCAGCCTGTGCCGGTGCCTCACCACTCCCACTGTAAAAGACTTTTTCCTGATCTCAAACCTAAATCTCCTCTCTTCAAGTTAGAAACCATTTCCCCTTGTCCCATCACAACAGACCTTGCTAAAGAGTCTGTCCCCTTCCTTATTATATAGCCCCTCTTTAGGTACTGAATATCTGCTATCAAGTCTCCCTGAAGCCTTCTCTTCTCCAGGCTGAACAGCCCCAGTTCTCCCAGCTTATCCTCACAGGAGAGGTGTTTCATCCCTTGGATGGTTTTTGTCGCCCTCCTCCAGATGTGCTCCAATGGGTCTACGTCTCCTAGGACTCCACATCTGGATGCAGTGCTTCAGGTGAAGTTTCCCCAGTGCAGAGTAGAGAAGGCAGGATCATCTCCCTCCCCCTGCCGGCCACACTTCTTTTGATGCAGTCTAGGATATTCCCATTGGTTCTTAAGCACAATTGTTGAAGTCCAATGAACATGAGAGCCCCTATTTTAATGTGAACACAATTTAGATAGCAAAGAGTTGAGATTGCCAATAGAAATGGAACAAAATGTGTGATAAACTGCCACAGCCAATTTCTGTCTCCCTGTTGAGAAATGTATGCCAACCACTTACTCTGCAATTATGAAAACGTTGTGAAAAATATGTTGGGTTTTGGTGTTATAAACAGCCTTGGTGCCTGGTCTTTTGGTTCATACGTGGATAGAAATAGCACTGTTAGAGGTACCTGGAAGTGCTGGGGGGGTGGGCGGGGAGGAGCTGAGATGAAGAGCATGTTTGAGAAAACAGGCACTTATGGAAGGACTTATTTTACTGAGGTGGGGAACACAGGTGGAGAGGGAAGAGAGAACAGCAATGGGAATGTAGGGAAACAAAACACAGTTTCTGGGCAGGGGGTTATGTTTTAGCAAGGCTTTCCACAGGTTTGTAACATTAACTAGTCTCCATTCTTCTGCAGAGAGTAGAGTTAATTGACTTTTTTTTTTTTTTTTTTTTTTTTTTCCCCTCCATTTTCAGCCCCACAGCTACCTGCTGGACTCACCTTCCTGTCTCCCATTCGATTACTTGCCATCAGTCTCGAGTCTATCAAGCTCAGAGCTCCAATTTTACCCCCAGGAACTGTTCTTGCACAAGAGTACAACACTGTGTGCTGTATCCCTTGGAAGTATTGTTCAGGGTTAAACTCTGACATCAAGCAGCAGCTCTGATGGCTGAGAAGGAACAGTTACACCATCTCCTTATGTCTGAGTAAGATTCTGTGTGTTCTAATAAAATCTGCAACTAGACCTTGAATTTGACTCTGAAATGCTTCATGCGTTTGGAGATGTTTCAGCAGCAATAAGCTCGTGAAGCTACACTGTAACTTCTTTTTCTACTGATTCTAGATCCCTTTTTATTTATTTATTTTTCATTGTGGATGGTTTAAAGCAATCCCAGAAAATGTGGCTTTTTTTTTTTTTCCTAACCCCTCCCTCCCGTGAAATTGTGCATCGGTTGTAGCTTGGATGGGGATGGACAGGAGTAAGATTACTCTGACTGAAATCTTGGCATGAAATTTGAAAACCTACCTAAGTTTCAGTAACCATTCAGGTATACTTAAGTGCAGCAGCAGAGCCCAGGCTGAAGACAAAGAAAAGAGCTGAGAGGATGTTGCTCCCTCTGAACAGAAAACAGAAATGGAATAGTGAAAGTCTTCTGAGATATGTGGTTCTTGTTCTCTTCTGAGAACCAGTACCATCAACAGTCCATGGAGCTGGAGCACTCTTTAACTCCCAGTGCACTACATAATGCTATGATGTGGGATACTGATAACAAAATCATAAAACCATGACACTGGTGCAGGATTTTTTCATTCTCCTGAGCTAGGAGAAGATTTCTTGTGAGCTAACAGATCTGAAGAAAAAGTTGTGTGTGTTGCTGCAAAGCCTGTGGTGATGGAGAGGTGTAAAAGATCCATGAGTTTGTTTCAAGGAGTGATGGCCTACAGGTTAGAGGACAGGCATGGTCTTGGGCTGCAGGAAATGATTAGTGGATTGGTATCATGAAAAGTAATTAACACACTAAACAAATACATTTTTAGTGCTATTTAAACATCACAGTTGTGAAATAGCGCCTTCACTAGGCTTTCTGCCCAATAGGCATGTTCCAATCAGTGTGCATACTGCAGTCATTATGCTAAGAGAAATGTCTACAGAAGTTCCATGTGTGGCTCATTGCTTCCTCCTTGAGATAGAAGATCATATAGAACAGCAAGGTCCAGACGAGCAAAATTATGCCTGTGTAAATAAATGAACAAATAGATAAGTAGTTTGTTATCACTGCTGGGGACATAAACTTGCCAATCTACTATGTCTTTACCTCCATACTGCAATACCAAACAGAGCGTGCACGTGTGGCTGCTGCTGAACCTGGGAGTTTCATGCTGAATGAGGTCTCTCTAAGCTTATAATTAATATCAATCTCTCCAAAAACTTCTGTTCTGTAGTGAATGTTGCTGTCTCTTTACCCTTCTATTTGTCCAGGCTTGTGTACTTATCGCAACTTAAAAACACCTCCCAGTAAGTGATTCTCTTTTCCTGTGACCCATTCTCCTGCCAGCTCCCAAAGCCCCTTGGTACTGATGGTGTTCCTCTAGACGAAAGTGGGATACTTTATGTAGGCTTTCTTCTCCTGCACTCAGACTAACACCAAAGACTAAACACAGACTAAAACAAAAGTAGAACTGGAAGGCCACACTGATTTCCAGCAGATAGTAGCACGTTATCAGTCAGGTCTGAGGCAGAAGAAGCACATTTTATCTTTACTGGAACCACCTAAAGTGATATTCTGGCCCAGCAGCTCTCCAAAACGCTACACTTATAGTACTATGCAGGTCACAGTGAAGGAAAGGAAAAGTAGGACATGTGAGAAAGAGACATTCTTCCACAAAATGATTTGTGCATTCCTCAGCACACCCACCCTAGTTCCTTCCAAGTTTTAGAGAGGGTTTCAAGCAGAATTGAAGTATGTCTCAAAGCTATCTGAGTTGAGGGAGCTCAAACTCAGTCAGCAGTGGAAAGGGAAATACATCACCTATGATGACAGGCTTCTGAAATCCAACAGATATACATAGTTTGGGGATAGAAGCATGAAGAGCTGTACCTAGGGAACGTTCAAGCAGACAAGAAGCTTCAACACACTTCTTTCCATAGATAATTTTTCAGAAAAGAAAGGATATATTTCATTTATTTACCGCTAGGAACTAAATTAACAAATTATCAAACCAAAGCCAACAGATGACACGATCACATATGTTATCTCACAGCTTTATGTCATACCTTTAATGAAAAAACTGTATCTTCACCCTGCTCCTCTTTTGGATCAGAACAAGTGTTGAGGGCAAAAGCTGCTGGAGACCAGATCCAGATACCGCAGTTGCTTGCCACAGCTGCACATCTGATTCAAAACTGGGCCAAATCCAAGTCCTGATCAGACTCAGTGGCTTCTTTCAGAAACAAGGGTATGAAATTTAGTTTCTTGGAGTGACCACATTGCATATACATGAACAAGTGGTCACATAATACCTTCCCACAGAAACAACTCTCCATGTTTCATTGTTAGTGCTGTCTGAAATTGCACAGAGCTCAACAGCCTTGAATTCAGTTTAGCTACATCTCTGACCTGTGAAATGGAATGCACTTTATTTCCCTCTTGTGAAAGGAAGGGTGCATGGAACAAAAAGTAGAAAAATGGAAAACCACCACAATCATCAAGCAAGCAAGGGGGCAGTCAGGTAAGTTTCCCCATATCCATGTTATAAACTTAGGGTTACTCTGATCTCAGCCCGTATTCCTCCTTGTCCTCACATGCTCTTCATTCACAGTAGAGGAATGCGGTAAAGCCTTCTCAGAGAGGGAGAGCTGAAGAAGGGTTGCATTGGTTAGACTGTCCCACCAGGTGGCACTGGAACAGTAACACAAATCTCGCTGGCCCTGCAGAGCTTTGCCTTAGCATTGCATCATCATTGCATCATCACTCTGCTTTTATCCTCAAGGTAAGATTTATCACTAAGATTGTAAATGTGCTGACACTTTCCATGTATCTTAGCAGCACCCCATAGCCAAGAAGGCCAAGCAAGCTATTTGGAGCTTGTATTTCTTTTTCCTTTCTCTATCCTTGCATGCTATGTTCTTGCAGGCCAGCAGCAGGGCTTATGGAACGCAGAATAATTGTAGACATAGCAGCTTTGGTACCAACTGTCTTACACACCCAGTCAAGATGGGGAAATAAAAATTCCCTCTGGAAATAACTAGCAAAAGCTGAACTGAATGTGTAGCCATTTCCAGCTGGACATCGAATGCACCCTCAGCAAGTTTGCAGATGACACCAAGCTGAGTGGTGCAATTGATACACTGGGGGGAAAGGAAGCCATCCAGAGGGACCTGGACAGGCTGGAGAAGTGAGCACATGTGAACCTAAAGACATTCAACGAGGCCAAATGCAAGGTGCTGCACTTGGGCCGGAGCAACCCCAGGTATTTATACAGACTGGGTAAAGAACCCTGTGAGAGCAGCCCTGTGGAGAAGGACTGATGGGTCCTGACAAACAAGAAGCTGGACATGAGCCAGCAGTATACGCTTGCAGCCCAGAAGGCCAACTGTATCCTGGACTGCATTAAAAAAGGGGCGGCCAGCAGGGAGAGGGATGTGATTGTCCCCTTCTACTCAGTTCTTGTGAGACCCCATCTGGAGTACTGCATCCAGGCCTGGGGCCCCCAGTACAAGAAAGACGCAGAGCTCTTAGAACAAGTCCAGAGGAGGACCACTGAGATGATCAGAGGGCTGGAGCACCTCTGCTATGAAGAAAAGTTGAGGGAAATGGGCTTGGTTAGCTTAGAGAAGAGAAGGCTCTGGGGGACCTTACTGTGGTATTGAAAATACTTGAAGGGAGTATATAAACAGGAGAGGGAACGGCTGTATATACAAGTGTGGATAGTGAAAGGAAAAGGGAGAATGATTTTAAACTGAGAGAGGGGAGGTTTAGGTTAAATAGTAGGAGGAAGTTTTTTACTCAGAGGGTGGTGAAGCACTGGAACAGGTTGCCCAAGGAGGTTGTGGATGCCACATCCTTGGATGCATTCAAGGTCAGGCTGGATTGGCTCTGGGCAGCCTGGTCTAATGGTTGGTGGCTGTCCATGGCGGGGGGGGGGGGGGGGTTGAAACTAGATGATCATTATGGTCCTTCTCAACCCAGACCATTCTATGATTCTATGACACTGCTGTGAGTTCCCAACTCCATCAATGAAAGACACTGGAGAATTTTTAGTGCCAGGCACTCAGCACTGTAGCTTTAGGGTTCAACCGTGTGCAAGAGTCTCCTCATGACACAGATGGCAAAACAGTCAGATGGAGAAAGGCACTTTCTCTTTCCCTCCAGGTGCCTGCATCATCTAATTATTACATGCTAGGGCACTGAAGTCAGCATTGGCACATTTGAAGGATGACAGGTAGACAGCACTTCCCAGAGGGCTTGCAGAGTCTCCTTCCCTGGATATATTCAAGATCTGTCTGGATATCTACCTACGTAGATGATCTCTGGAGGTCCCTTCCAACCCCTACAATTTCGTGATTCTGTGTGATTCTCTGATGACTTTTTGCTCTTCTGAAGAAATATTTGAGTGTCTACTGCTGCATTGCCTGAGGTGGAGGAGATCCATGAGTTTGTTTCAGGGGGTGGCCTACAGGTTAGAGGACGGGCATCATCTTGGGCTGCAGGAAATACTGATCGCAATGCTATAGCTGAGTTCTGAGGAACAAAAAACTGCAAAAGTGAGGAGTTGGCTTATTAGGAGATCACATCCTAGAAACAAGTCACCCAGTTTCAGAAAATATTGGAAAATATTGTTTTGCAGCAGAGAATTTGCTCTATCAAAATTTGTTATTGTTCTCCTTTATCTGTTGTCATTTCCATGGAAATAAATAGGAGGTAATATTTTTGGAGCAACCTATTTATATGCAGCCCTAGACAATTTCTGTTCACTATATGTGGCCCAGGGAAGCGAAAAGTTTGATACCCATGTACTCACAGGCCTTGGACAAGTCTTCAAACAATGAACTGTGAAACAAGCATTGCAAGTGGCACTCTAAAAGGCCTGGCCATCAGTATTTCTCATCCATCCAGCACTAGACTTGGAGGACTCATTGAGAGAAGGCCTGCAATAAGCAAGAAGCTGTTCCTTACCTCGAGAGACAACTGAGTCTGTAGACCAATGCAAAACTCCAGCATTTCATTGTCTGGCAAAGGTACTACTTTGTCTGTGATAGTCTGCATGGCTGGCTGGCCTTATCTCTGTCTTTTTTGTGTGTGACTCTCTGAAATATATATATGTTCAGCCTTACTAATGTCCAAGCCTGCAAATGAGAACATGCATAGGACTGGGGTGGAGAAACTTCCTAGCTTTTTGAGTGCATCCATCTGGACTTCAGTGGCAAGGAATGAAAAGTCCCAAAGTTCCCAAAGTCCTGCCTGGAGTCTGCAATATTTGACAGGCAGGGAGAAGTAAGGCACGGATGCAGTAATTCTGCTATTTACAGGTAGTCATTTCCATACCCCACAAAGTGGGTAGGTAATGCAGGGCTAAATTTACCTGTGCTGGACTAATGCAAAGTCTCAGTGAAGGGCTAGAACAAGTAGGGGCAAAATCAGGAAGTCTGAGCTGGAGTTTGGAAGGAATGACTAAGAATGGCTAGACACAAAAGTGAAGAAAAGATAAAGAGCAAAGGAAGATGAATAGTGCTCTTTGAAGAGTACAGATAAAGGCAACAGAAAAATGTTGCGGAGACTAATGGGAAGAAAAAAGAAAATAAAATAACCAAGAAGTTGTTTTCAGCATATGCAAAGCTTGATGTAAATGTAGAATACGCAGCTTTCCTGCTGTTTTCTGGATGTGCTCCAGTGGCTCTAAACTGGATCCTTTATCCTATAGCTTGTTCTTTCAAAGGGTCCTGCTTTGGGACAACATGAGAAGCAGCACCGTGGTACTACTCTGGTTATTCCACTGTGCTCCCTATAGCAGAGGCAGATGAGCACACAAACACTCTGAATAAGCTGCATCCTCTGTCAGTTTCTCTGATGACTTCATCCAGCCAGGGTTGCTAGTGCCCATTCAAGTTGGAGAACGCTGCGCACCAGAGAACTGATCATACAGGCTGACTATTTTAAGATCCATTTTAAAATGAAATGAGAATTTTCCACATCCTGAGTTAAGACCAAAAACCACCTAACTTCTCACCACTTTCAACATCTGATTGTCTTCTCTGTATCCTTACTCAATTTGTCTTTGGATACATTGAGAGTATTCACAGCATGTAGAATCAAATCAAATATTCCAAACTGAAAGGGTCTCTCAGACATAATGAGCTCAGCCAGCAATGGATGTGACCATCTCACCAACATCCCATCACCCTACAGTTTTCATGGAGATACACTTAAGTGCCCTTGGCAGAGGAACCAGGGACAGAGGAAAACTGGGGGTGAGTTGCTGGCAATCTCACCTACAACTAGGTCTTCTGACCAAACTGCAGTTCCATGTATTCTACTCAGCCAACAATGTTGCAGATGGAAAGAGAGAGGTTTCCACAGTCTGTGGCAGGCACTTCTTACAGAATATGGGACACAAAAGGAGTTATTGCTACAATTAAAGAAAAGGAGAAAGAGGAATTCTTACCGATAGCTGCACTTGGTCCTGCTGGGAACAGGCCCACAAGAGGAGAAATCTTTCATACAACGTGTCTGGAGGCAGATTCCAAACAAAAAAAAAACCATAATGCATTATCCAGTTGAGTTCCTCACCAATAAAGCATACCATTAGTATATTAGTACAGCTGTACTATACAGTATACACAGGAAGAATGACACACCTTTCAGTCTGAAATCTGCATACAATGCTCCTCATAGTGTTGTGCCTTATAGTTCATGCTCTAGATCTTCTAAATGGCATACAGCAATGCTAATAATTATCAGAAGGGACTGTGAATTAACAATGGAGTTTCAGTATCTAGGTCTATGTCATACAGTTTTGTTTAATAACTTATTTGTTTTTAGCCATCCTTCCTTTTCTAATGTGCAAGACTTTCCCAAGCTGGTTTAAGCAGCTCTTGGAGATGCAATTTGGCAGACACCATTAACTGTGACTTTCAATACCTAACCTTGGCACTAAAATAAAACATAAAAACAGATGATTACTACAGGTTCAAAGATGACTTATTAACTGTGAACAGTTTGACCTTTCTTAGCAGCACAGACAAAGATGTGGTTTTTAGACAGTAGTCAGATGGCAAGAGGCTCATCCAAAGCAAAGATGCTCTCTCTGGTGTTCTACAAATCTCTGCCATGCAGTTCCTTTTGAATTTGTTATCTTCTTTAAATTGTATTTGATTGTATAGTCTTCTATTTATTAGTAGTAACTTTAACTTAGCAATATTATAGTTAAAAGATACGAAACTAGTGAATATGTTCAGAAAACTTTTATGGATTTTATTAGCAGGGCAGTAATTGATAAGACAAAAACTTCTAATGTCTTTCTTCTTAGTAAAGGCTGTAGCCTTTGCAGATTTTCTCTCTTCTATTTTCTGCTGGTGTTACAGGACACAGTGTTCCCCGGCTAGATGTCTGTTCTCAGCTGAGTACTCTAAGGCTCCAACTTTCAGCAGAAATCTATGGGAGAAGCAAAAGCACCCTGGACAAGCATTCCTGAGAATAGTTTTAATTTAAGGCAGTTCCCAAGATAATCAGCTATTTCAAGTGATTCCTGAATTCAAGAAATAACCTAATCAAGAGTTGTCTGTTTTGTGTGGGGCTTATGATACATTCCTAGACAGCTTTAAGGACCTTAAGGAAACATGGCATGAGCACTACAGCCACAGTGCTAGTAGCTGATGTTGTTTAGCCACAGGAGAGACTGCACCAAAGTCACCACTGCACAATCTTACTGGAATAATCCTCAGTGCATTGTCTACTTCATTTCTTATTCACCTTTTATTTAAAAGGGAGTAGAAAAAGTGATTAGCATCTGTTTTCTGTCCCTTCTGCAAAGAGGTCCTTAGTATCAGGGCAGAGGTGCTGAAGTGACAGCAGCTCTCATGTATGGCAGAAGTCTGAAAGTACAGGATTGGCAAATGAATTAATATGGATTATGTTCTGGGAAAAGAAAAAGAATTTATAAAAAAAAAAAAAAAAAAAAAAAAAAAAAAAAAGGAGGACTGGGGCTTAGTAAAGAAAGGGAAAAAGACAGTAAATTCCATCTGCAAAGTAAATCTGCAAAGTAAATCTACTTATAGTGCCTAACCATACCTATTCTTAATAGCCCAGTTCAAGGATCTATCTTGCTAAGAGAAAAACGCTAAAAGAAAAAAAAGAATATACCACATGGTTTCCCTCTTGGAAGTCTCATTTTCCTTCTGCTGTTAATAATATTTTGCCTGTGATTTCTTCTTTTCCATTCACTATGGCACTTAGTGCCATAAGCCATTCAGAAGCATTATTATGCATTATTATGCCATTCTCACAGACGCAGCCACCTCAGCCATACTGTCATCTACATTCAATTCAAGGTTGTTTTTTGGCACACGATATGGAAATTGCTAGTGGACTACAAAGTCATAGGTTGGAAGAACTCAGCTGACCTGATATCAACTGGAAAATTCATGGAACAGAATCAAAGCACAGAGAAACCAACATTAAAATGCAGTTATTTGCACATTCACACAAGAATATTCCTCACACTTCCTTAATAAATAATCTGTCTTATTGTACTGCAGAGCAGCTTGAACCACTGTTCCATAGTAATACATATCACACATAACACAGATAGTTCCCAGAACACATCTCCATTCTTTTGTCCTTCATGCATGCCTAGGTCCTTCCAATTGGCACAGATCTGCCCTAACTGAGTGAGTGACAACGTTAAAGCCTCATAGAAGGGTACCAGCTCTCTATTTAGAAATTCCTGACTTTATCAATACTTCTGCTTGCTCAAGAAGAAAACAGGGCTGCCATGGCTCCAGACTGTCTGGTGTACTGAGTTTAAACAACTAAGGCTACTAGTAGAACCTGGCCATGGAGAATCCCAAGGCCATATGGAGGCATCTCACAGCATGACAAAATAGCTTTTTTTTTTTTTTTTTGGTGCCAAAAGTGGTATTAAAAGCTTCAGAATTTTAGAGAAAGATCAGCCTGACAATGGACTGGACACAGAGGACAACATGTATCTCTTAATCTCTGCTTTTAAAGGTCTGTAAAGTCTGTGCTATCTGGTCCTCACCAACACACCAGCACTGCCTGGGAGGATTGTGGCTAGACTAAGAAGAGATGTAGGATAAAGCATCCATTGCAGATAAATTATAAGACTGTGGTAAGCTGTGTTTCCTGTGCCTTCCCTTTTCTAAGTGGTCATATTAGCTGTGTGTGAGGACAGGAATTTTACCACTCCTGCTTAGAGCACAGCTTGCCAACAGCATCCAGCTGCATCAGTTCTCTCTCGTTAATGGACATTGCCCCCACTGAGAAAAAAAGTTAACCATCTTTGTGGCTCCCAGAAGCCAACTGTTCATGGTTTAGCTACAGAAAGCTCTTCAGAAAAAGAAGGCCAAAATTATGGAAAGCAATTCCTAAGGAATCACTTTGGGAGCAGGCAGACTTGAGAGGGATGAGCTGTTTAGCATTGTTGTGATAATACACCTCAACTGCATCTCTAGGCAGTTCCTGTGATTTATGGGAATGTTGCAAGGTAGACACTTGCTAAAATATAACAGGACAGTGATTACTCTAAAGAAAAGGATAATTCAGATTCTCTCATTTGGTGACAATGACAAGAGTGCTCATCAGGACCCTGAGAAGAATTCCTGGTAGAGTGCACAGTGAGCTGATGAGCGCTGCAAACCTTCCTAGAATAAGAGAACTTTTATCACATTCCCCACTCTCATCTCTTCCCCAGAATTTTCAGTCTGTTACTACCAGTTTCCATTGTTCTTTATTTAAATGTCAACTATGTAGATTTCCAAGAAAGAGAGAGGGGAATAAGCAAGGATAATCATTTATAGATAGCTTTGTTTTCTGAAATAGCCTCAGCTCTGAATTTAAAAAGATGATTTAACCAGCTCTAATCAGGTTGTTTTGGCACAGAGGAAAAGCAGACTCAGGCAGCAGTGGAACCACAAAAATAGCATTTTGTTTTCACGAGCAGCCCAAGAGTTTTATTTGGTGCCTTAACTATAGGTGAGGTTTTTTGAAGTTCAAAAACATGTACATGAAAAGAATCAAGACTAAACAGAAAGGGAGGAGAGTTTCCCTTTTCTACACATAGGAAAATTAATCATGGTAAACAATAACTGGCTCTGAAGAAGAGCAGACGAAGAGAGAAACAACTGTGCAAAAAATACTGAGTTCAGGGAGAGTTAAGTGCAGGATTAGACTTTTTTACTTGACTATGATGTCCATTTACCTTCCTCCATGTAGAAACATGTCAGATAGATGACAGCCTGGGTAGAGTTATTAGAATCACAAAAGGGTAACCATTAGTGAATTCTGATGCTACTGCCTTTGTGATGCTATATGATGCCTAGGTGTCCTTGTTTGAGGTATGACAAAAACACCATTTATCATTATAAGTTTCCTCTTAATGGGTAATATAGAAAGTTTATTAAAAAATGAAATACCTTCATCTTCTCAAAAAAAATAAAAAAATAAAAAAAAAATAAAAAAATTTTAAAAAATCCAGCTGGTTGAGAAGGTTGAATACTATTTATCCTACTTACTCTGTTTTCCCAATGTTAATGTAGCTACATTAGAATCTAAAAACCAGGGCAAGCAATGCCTATCCACAATTGGAAAGACTGGAAAACAAACTAGGCAATGGATTTGTGCAATTTTGAGACACTTGATCTGAACATGTCAGAAAATATCAGGCTGTATTCGTAAGAATAAAACGTGTCAACTAAGCTTTCAAAGGCATATGTGTTTTTTATTGAAACTGTGGGTTTTGGACTCCAACGAGAGATGTTTTTAGTACAGGTTACTGAAATAGGTACTTCTGTAAAACAGATTTTTGTACCAGCTGAGCATTCTGTATATCTTGATGAATCTTATATCTGCATGTTGCTTGAGATAAAAGAAGCTTGAAGATGCCCTTGCTAATAGCATCATTCACACGGAGACTTGTGAGATACACTTGCTCTCATATTGTTGTGCAAAAGCTTGCAAATTCCTTTCCAGAAGGTCTTTACATTCTCACTGAAATAGTTTTAGTTATAATGGTATACTGAAAACCTGAACTTAACAAACTTTGAACTTATTGTGCAGGCCTAATAGGTAATATACAAGGGGAACACATATTAGGCGGACCAAAAAGTCTGTAACCTCCAAATACTTCAGTAAGGAAAGGAAGAGGGACAATGCATCAGAAAGAGGGATAAAAAAGAGGCAGTGCCTTCTGAGGTGCTAAGGGACCCCACAGGGCTGTGTCCCCGTGGACTTTTCCTTTATTTTAATAAAGCAAGCAAAAGACTGTCCTCTGTCTCTTTTTGGGATAAAGATAATTGGGCAAGCCTATTTGAGCAAAATTTTCCCAACTGAAAAGCTCTAACCATGAATCACTAAAACTCATTTTATGAGTCACAGCTTTTGGACTTGCTTTTTTAACTGTCAGGGAGGAGTGTGTTCTACTGCACTGGTGGATATAAGAAAAAAAAAAGGGAGCTAAAAACACAGCTTCAAACAAATGCAACAAATGCAAC